CAACCATTTGTTGGCAATACGTGTTTGAATTACAATGCGAAACAGGGGAAAAGCCTTTCGAGAAATTGTGATTGAGAAAAACAAATCTGTTATATTTTTTCTTTTTCTTTGTAAAACTTATTTAGTTACACATGGTAGTGATTTTTTTTTTTTTGATTTTTCTTGTTTTTCCCTGTGTTTTTTTTCAGTATAAACAGATGCTCATTAAAACGATCATTTCTCTTAAATTTTTACAGATCATTTTAACAAAAAAGGTACAGTCAGTTAGAAGTAGGTTCAGCGTCTATTTATTTATATATATTTTTAAATAATTTTTGATGAAAACTTAGCTACCACATATATATTAACGATATAAGAAGACAATCTTTTTTCTCGTTTAATTTTATTACTGCTATTCAGTATAGTTAGAAATAATAAGTATGTAAAAATGCTGTCTTCATTTAGCATGCATTTTATTATACAATTATTTATATCTAAACTTTTATGTTGTATTATTTTTACTTACACATAAAGAATATTTATTTAAAGAGCAATTAAAAGAAAAAATAAGCATACATGACATATTTATATGGACATCAAATGTATTTTATATTATCCTATTAATTACTAACCTTTCTGAATATTTAAATATATATATATAATATATTGAGATGTAAAGATAAATTTTATAATAAAGAATTAAAAATGTCCAGTTATTATCCTAAAATTTCGTGTATGTATATATTTAATATTCGTAATTCACTCTTACATTCATTTATAATTTTAATATAATAAAAATAATATAATAATCATTATAATGGAAGTTATTTTGTTTAATTATAAAAAATATTAATATATGTAATAATAATAATTATATAATAATAAATAATGGCAGTTAAAATTATTATGTTTTAATTATGAAAAATATTAATATATGTAAAAATAATAATTATAATAATGATTACGATAATTATAATATTATAATAAACATAAAAATGAATGTAATAATGATAAAAAGTAATAAAGATAATTACAAAAAAACATAATAATAATAATAATTATAATAATATAATAATAATAATAATATTATTAATTGTTATTATTATTATTATTACTATTATTATTATTATTGAAAATAATAATAGCAAAAATAACAATAAAACTTGTAAAAGTAATTATAATGTAATAATAAGAATAATGATTATAATAATAACAACAATAACAACGATAATTAAAATTAGAATATCTTAAAATAATGTAAATGATAACAAACGATTACAATAGTAATGATAATTATATAATGTAATCATAATAATTATTATTATTATAATGATAGTAATAATAATAACAATGATGATGATAATGGTGATGATAAATTATTATTTGTAATAGTAGTAATAGTTGTATTTCAATCATTATAAACACATCTGTATAATGTAAATTATTATATATTTTTTTATATAATTATTAATGTATCATCGCCATCTGTGTTAACAATTGGAGTTTTCTTAAAATATATATTTATATATAACTTTGAAGTATATATATTTCATATCTATGCTACATATCATTATATATATTATTTTATTAATAAATTTTATGACTTAAAGACTGAAATAAAATATTGTGAGCTCCTGCCCAAATATTTTCTTTGTCAGGTTATACATAGTTTTGTTAAAAGAATAGCATGAACCTTGGGTAAAATGTAGAAAGTTTAGTTTTAATGGGACCTGCTTCATAATGAAATGTCTGATAAACAATTAATAATTGTGTTAATAATATTCAGAATCACACATGACACGAAATAATTACATAATGAGCCGCGTCACAACAAAACCAACATAATGTGTTTGCGACCAGCATGGATCCAGACCAGCCTACGCATCCGCGCAGTCTGATCAGGATCCATGCTATTCGCTTACAGACCCTATAACAAGTAAAGAAACTGATAGCGAACAGCGTGGATCCTGATCAGACTGCGCGGAGGCGCATGCTGGTCTGTATCCATGCTGGTCGCAAACCAATTATGTTGTTTTTGTCGTGACGCGGCTCATATTATAATGATTTTGTCAACGTGATATACGTGGTCTGATATTACATATCTATGGATTTTTCTTCTTCATTCTTTTCCCTTTTCTCATATTTTGGTTTCCTTTTTTCTTTTTTTCTCATCATTAACACCAAATCTACCAATTTTAGTTACGTTTCACTATAAATTATATGTCCATCCACAGACAACTTTTATTTCAGTCGAATTACATTGATAAAATATGAAAACGCCATTCATAAGAAAAAATAATAATAGAAAAAATGACACACTATTTTTGAATGTAAGATCAGGTATCTCTATAAGAAATACAAATATAGTCATAACAATACCCATAAGCAATATTTATTGTATAATTGATTTATTTGTAAGTTTTTTCCTTATAATCGTGTTTATAAATTTGCACACATGTTTTAAATAAGGAAAAGATGCTTATCAGTTAACTTATTTTATATGACATAAGTGCTTCTCTTTTTACTACAAAGTCGTACTGCTTTATTCATACCTTTGTTTAACATACGATTAGAGATTCTGTTATGTAAATTGTCTTTGTTATAAAATGCTATATATTTTTATGTGCTTTATACAATTGTAGTCTCTTGTAATTCTGTATATATATAGAATGGCTATATAATGTTCTTATGATACGTTTATTTGTTGTATTATATTGTACAGTATCTAGATGAGTCTTTAAAAAATAAACGAACATGTTATTGCAAAATTCAATATTTTGTAATCTGTGTCTTCCAAATAAAGAGTATGTTCTGTTCTGTTCTGATCTGTATTGCGGAAAATACATTTTCTACTATGCAATATTATTATTAATTATATAAATGTTCACTACAACAATATATTTATGAATATGTTTGATAGTGATATTGAAACGATAGACGTCTATTAGTTTACATATGTAAGTTGTAGATCAATCCCCTTTAATGAAAATGTGGGAGTTGTAGACCAATCCCCTTTAATGAAAATGTGGGAGTTGTAGACCAATCCCCTTTAATGAAAATGTGGGAGTTGTAGATCAATCCCCTTTAATGAAAATGTGGGAGTTGTAGACCAATCCCCTTTAATGAAAATGTGGGAGTTGTAGATCAATCCCCTTAAATGAAAATGTGGGAGTTGTAGATCAATCCCCTTTAATGAAAATGTGGGAGTTGTAGACCAATCCCCTTTAACGAAAATGTGGGAGTTGTAGATCAATCCCCTTTAATGAAAATGTGGGAGTTGTAGATCAATCCCCTTTAATGAAAATGTAGGAGTTGTAGATCAATCCCCTTTAATGAAAATGTAGGAGTTGTAGATCAATCCCCTTTAATGAAAATGTAGGAGTTGTAGACCAATCCCCTTTAATGAAAATGTAGGAGTTGTAGACCAATCCCCTTTAATGAAAATGTAGGAGTTGTAGATCAATCCCCTTTAATGAAAATGTAGGAGTTGTAGATCAATCCCCTTTAATGAAAATGTGGGAGTTGTAGACCAATCCCCTTTAATGAAAATGTAGGAGTTGTAGATCAATCCCCTTTAATGAAAATGTAGGAGTTGTAGATCAATCCCCTTTAATGAAAATGTAGGAGTTGTAGATCAATCCCCTTTAATGAAAATGTAGGAGTTGTAGACCAATCCCCTTTAGTGTGATAGGTTTCGTTATTTAAAACATTAAAAGATAAATATACAAATGTATGGGTGCAAATAACTACTTTTAACTCAAAATTAAAACTTACTTAACCACAATTTTCTTTATGTACCATTTTTCAAGAAGTTTTCGCCATTATTTATAATTAAAATTATTACAACAGAAAAGGAAATATTAGCTTTTATGCTATGAATTATGCTGATTTATATATTGTACGGCGCCCACAAGTCTGGTGTCATTTTTTTTCTATGATAATATAATATACATTTGTTAATATGTAAAAATAATACAAAATTACTTTACACGCCGATGAAGATTAAAGAATATAAAGAAAAGAACAGTAAAGGGAAAAAATGAGTCGCGTCCCGACAAAACCAACATAATGGGTTTGCGACCAGCATGAATCCACACCAGCCTGCACCTCAGTCTGATCGAGATCCATGCTGTTCGCTATCAGTTTCTCTACTTGTAATAGAGTTGGTAAGCGAACAGCATGGATCCTGACCTTCTATGTATTGGCTACTCACTTGACTGAGCGGACTCTACATTTTATCCCATTAAAATAATGGAATTTTGTTAAAGATCAAATAGAAACCTGGGCGACTTCACATTTTGTTTTCTTCCCAACGCAGACCTTGAAAAGGTCACGTGGTTTAGGCATCGTTGCGTGTATATACATGGAAATTCTAATGTAAGACGTGAACGTCCTTTGATTCTTGAAATAGGTTTACGAGACAGTTATGGATTGCAAAAGTCTGACGCATTCCGAATAAATAATGTAAAATGCACTTCTGAAGGTTATAAGGAATATGTTTCTGAAACGTTTGATAAATTTGTCTGCGTCGAATGTAAGTGATGAAACTTTTGTATTGAAATATTCAGGAAGTGTGCTTTAACACACACACACAAAAAAGATTATATCATAGCTGTCATCTGATTGAATGATGTTTCATTTGAGTAGAAAGTGGAATGTTTCGAACCATTTAAGTATATTTTAGTTTAGACGGAAATCGAATTTAATAACATATGAGACAATATTATCTATTTTGGTCAATCCAGTTTGACATTGAATTTTGATATTGTAAATTGTTTGAAAAATAAAAAAAGTTTATTTGATGATTTAGTCGTTATGCGTAATACAAGGGAGGTAATCAATACTTCTTTTTACGCATTTTGTGCACATAATTATTTCCCTTTCAAAATGGAATATTTTATCAATATATTTTTTCAGGCGACCATTTACTGGAATAAAGATTAAAATATATTAAATATTCGTCTTTAAACAAATTAGTATTGAATTTGTATTAATGAAAAGATTGTGTTTGTTTATTTCAGAGCCTTGTAATTGCTAACAATGGTTGCTGGAACTCTTTTTAACATCCAAACTGCGATGTCTGAAAAGCCGAAGAAAAAGGGTGAGTTTACCAAATAAATCTTTAAATGAGCCGTGTCACGACAAAACCAACATAGTGCCTTTGCGACCAACATGGATCCAGACCAGCCTGCGCATCCGCGCAGTCTGATCAGGATCCATGCTGTTCGCTTACCAAAATCTATAACAAGTAGAGAAACTGATAGCGAACAGCATGGATCCTGATCAGACTGCGCGGGTGCGCAGGCTGGTCTGGATCCATGCTGGTCGCAAACGCACTATGTTGGTTTTGTCGTGACGCGGCTCAAATGCATTACGTTATGTTGGGATTGTTCCTTTTTTTCTTTTATCTGAGGTTAAAACTTCAAAATTGATAGGGGAAAGAATGCAAAATAGCATTAATGATTATTTTTAAAGGCCTTTTATGCCCAGAGACAAATTCATTTTAGTTCTTTAGAAAAAAAACAAGCATGAGTTTTATAATGTTGAAATAATGGCCAACAAAAGAATGTTAAATGCTTGTTATCTGATGAAAGTAGCCATAAATGTAAAATACTTTGTCATAAAAATAGCAAAATGTAAACAAAGTATTATTTTGACTTCCATACACAATTCTAATTCAATGTCACTGTATTCATTGCTAAAAAGCAACAGATGAAAAATATGGGTCAGGTAATTGGCCACTGAGTAAGAAAATACACTTTTGTTGAGAGATATTAAAAATCATTTCTGAGGCATAATTAATGGGCCTTTAATCTATTTTTTTCCCTATCTACAATAGCTAACATGTATAATATCGTGTGTTTAGTACAGACTTTATTCACGTTCTTAATATCTGACCTACTTTATTTAGTGACCAACTTTCATTTGCACTCCAAATAGTGTATCACCCCGCACTAGGTCATAAATTGTACTCTTTGAAGCTGTCCAGTAATCAGACTATTTATATAAAGAATTTGAAACTATTCATGATTAAAAATTTACGAAATTAAAAATTAGGAATTTACGAAATTAAATTGATCGAAAGGTGAAGCTTTTCTTGACCAATTTATTTTTTGAACACTTATCAATCAATAAAGTTCTATTGCCCAATCAGTTTAAAGTTTAGGTCAGTGTTTATTAGTAGGTATTTAGAAAATTAAATCGGTCAAGAACGGTGAAAACTGTCGATTTACCAGACTGATTAGATTTAGCCGATTAACCGAAGTAAATGTGTTATGATTCATTTAGAATACTTCAATTCTATTGGGCACAACACATTTCAAACACTTAAATCGTTTTAAAGCTTTAGCCTCCAGATGAGCAAAAATATTTCGATAAAATCAAAAAATCAAATGTATAATGATTTTAGGAATGTATAAAGACTCAAAATTCTAGTAAAAATTTACATGTTATGTGCGATTAATGACCGAATATTTCAGTATTAATAACTATATTTCTACTACGTTACTAACGGAGTAAGGGCTCTTTTTGCATATTTTGACATCTTTATAGTAATTTACATAGGTTGTAAGTGCCATTGATAATGTGTAAATTGCTTTCCTTTGGTAACTTAACAATATTATACTTCAAATTTTCATGAAAATTAGCATGAATCACCTGGAGGCGTGCTGCTTTAAATATATGAAGGTCAATTTAACTAGTACTTTGTTCTGTTTGGTTCTGTTAAAAACAAACTAGATACATCTGTACTACGTGCGCCCATGATTGTTTTTTTTATCTTTTATATTTTTAAACAGCTCTTGGTTTTAAGTAAGACAAGTCTACCTGTGGTATATTAACCGATAAATGACTCTTTGACATTACAAGTGTACTTTATGTAGATCAATTGTAATGGTCCAGTTACCACCGCAAGTTCATGATAAAGTAGTACAATATGCCATAATGGTGTATTATATATGCACTACATTTTAAGAATGGGATAAAATAACTAATAGTAACTAAGTCTTGGTAAGGTGACCATTATGTATTGCAGCTCACATTTCAGATCCTGTAGAATCTGTGATTAAGTTTTATCTTAAAAGGTATATAGCTAATACCTTGTGATTTTTATATGTTTATAAACAGTTAAATTATGTTGTTGCAAGAATTATATAGTAACTTCTCCAAGCATAGGTTTGCGTTTGTCCGTCAGCATTAATAAAATTGAACCTGTCTGAACTAGCACAGTCGGGCGACATATTTTGCGGAATAAATGCTGACCAAGCAAACACCTTCACTTACTAAGTGGCTGAACTTATCAGTAATTATGTGCGGTTATGATATAGGATGCGCTGATTTAATGTGATTGTACATGTATAAAATGAGTTGTCGCTGATTAAATAAACCAAATTTCCCACAGAATTTGAAAAATGGAACAATCTCACTGACCGAAATATGTTTTCAACCACTAAGAATTATTGTAACATTATAGGGACTCACTACTTAAGGCATTTATACGCACCGGGCCCGTGATTTGTGTACAAATTGATGAACGTCTGGACCGATAACTTGTGTGCAAATTTTCAGGTTTTTCTCTATTCCCCGTTTTTAAGAATAATCATTTTATTGCACAAAGCGACCAGAAAATGAAAAGCGTTGTAACGCTAAATCGGCTAAGAGTCGCACAAAAAATCGATGTTAATTCAATTACGAGTATCTTTCTCTGTTATCAAGAGTTTGTAAAATATATTTTTAAAGTCTTATTGTGTCAATCATTTGAGCCGCGTCATGACAAAACCAACGTAATGCGTTTGCGACCAGCATTGATCCAGACTTGCCTGCGCATCCGCGCAGTCTGATCAGGGTTCCATGCTGTTCGCTATCAGTTTCTCTACTTGATATAGATTTTGGGTGAGAACAGCATGGAAACTGATCAGACTGTGCGGTATTGCAGGCTGGTCTGGATTTATGCTGGTCGCAAACCCATTATGTTGATTTTGTCGTGACGCGACTCAATTTTTGTCTTCAGAAAAATACGGCTCAGGCAACAATGAACATATACTGTGTCGAGTGTGTGGGGATAAATCGTCTGGATTCCACTATGGGGTCTTCTCGTGTGAAGGCTGTAAGGTAAGAGGGTATCAGGTCTTTAACTTATTACCAGTAACCCCAGGTACTCCTTTGTGGTGCCGTTTCAGGCATTATTTCAGGCACGAACGGGCACCTGAGCAAAAATTCCCGACTTTCCGTAAGCTAGCTTGATATCCAGAACCCAAAGTTCCTGGTGGGATTCGAACCCACAGCGGTGAGGGGCAAGTGGTTTGAAGTCAATCTTAACCACTTTACCACTCGGCCACGGACGCCCCATTAAAATTTAAAATCTTCTTTAATGGTTATTGATTTATTTTAATGCAATGCTTATTTAAATATTGTATAGTAGAAACTTAATCTTCAATTCTTAAACTTTAGTCCGAACGAACAATAATTATTGCGTTCAGTCTGACCAGGCTCTATACTGTATGGAAACTCAATTTCTCAATATTTGTACTTATATATTATATATTTAAATCCGTTTAACTTTGAATGGACTTTCCCAAATTTAAAGATGAGCAAACCCATTTCACAATTTCAGGAGGTTGAAAGTTATACGGTTAAGCTTTTATTCATATTTTATCTCTGTGTTTTGCCTATTTTTAGGGATTCTTTAGACGTACTGTCCGACAGAAAATGGAATATAAAGCCTGCGAGAATCCGAAAGGTTGTTTAATCATGAGAATCAGCAGGAATCGATGCCAGTATTGTCGTCTTCAAAAATGTATCTCCGTGGGCATGTCACACGAAGGTAGGAATAGAGAGGTGGCGCCCTCTACGTCTGACATTTTCCTATTTTTTAATGTTTTCTTAGATTTGAATACAAATCAGCCGCGTCACGACAAAACCAACATAATGGGTTTTGGACCAGCATGGATCCAGCCTGCACATCCATGCTGTTTGCTTACCAACTCTATAACAAGTAAAGAAACTGATAGCGAACATATTAGCGAACAGCATGGATCCTGATAAGACTTCGCGGATGCGCAGGCTGGTCTGATTCCATGCTGGTCGCAAACCCACTGTGACGCGGCTCAAATATTGTTAGAATTATTAAGTTGTTGAGGTTGTTGAGAAAAGGATTAATAAATGTATGTTTACATTTATAAAAAAAAAGGCAATGGTTGCTTGAGTATAGTAATCAGATGAATATAAAATATACAATATCCTTTTTATTACAGCTGTGCGACTCGGCAGGTGCCCAAAGAAAGACAGACCAGCGAAGACGAGTTTTATGTACATGCCAAGAGACTCCACCACGGACCTGGACCGGCAGGTTCGAACCGAACAAATGGTACTTACAGTGCATGCAGCATTTAGGAAAGCTTGCGAGGATTTTGATGATTTTGCTGCATTATTCACTGATAAAAATGTATGTTAAACATAATTTGACAGATTCTGATTTACAAAAACTAAATATTTAAAAAGTTCCTTTTGTATTTTTGTTTTCTTGAACTAAAGAGAATGCCATTAGTTCAGATCGCATAGTTCATATAACGATGATGATGGTAGTAAAAATCTGTGTTAAATATGGGTACAGAATTGTGTTTACTAGCCAAATATTTCATAAACAGTTTTAAAAAGAACACACTTGAATTAATTAGTACAAAATGATTTATTTTGTTGAAGATAAAACTTGATGGAATAGTTATATTAAGATTAAAGTTTGAATCTCTTACGATTTCAAACAGTTTTTTTTTCACCCTGTTACTTTTTTATGTTGTTTTATTTTCAGATAATCATTCAGGAAAAGTCAGACGCCAAACATTTGTACTTCCGGTATTTACCGGGAACTGTTCGATTTATAACAGCGTTCGCTAAAGAAATTCCCTTGTTCAAATCTTTAACCGAACACGATCAAAGACTACTAATAAAAAGTGGAATTTTAGAAATTTCAACCATTAATGACTCGTTATATATGGAATTGGAAGAGGACAATTTTGTGAGCAATAAATTGAATATAACTGTCCGCAAAGACAAGTTGGACGATATAGGACTACTAGGGAATATGTTCAGAGACATTTGCAGCGTGATCGGAAAACTTCGAAAGCTAAATTTTACAGACGTAGAACTTTCACTTTTGTCTGCTATTGTGCTCTTCTGTCCAGGTAAGCATGTATGCCTTTTCTTCAGTCTTTTGATAAATGAATACATAAATATTTCACCACCTTTTAAAAACCCTGGAACTGCTGGACGCAAAAGTGATTAGTATTTGCCGCAGGTATAGAGCTAGGCCAGTTAGCACACCCGTGAAGTCTGATCTGGTCCATATTGCAACATGTGACTTAGTAAGGTTCACCTTAACATGCACCTTCTGTATTTTAAGATTTAATTTTGTGAAAATTATGCGTAAGTTTACAATTCACAGAGTGCAACAGACGTAGACAATGTTATTATAACTATAAATATTTTAAAGATCACGCGACCTAGAGAAAAACAAAGACAAACCCAATGTTACAATGTTATTGGCTTTACCATTTTCTTGCATGAATCTTAGGTGAGCGAACTAGGGCCATCATGGCTGTCTTGTGTAGTTACGTTTTGTCTTTAATTATTCATGTGATTTTCTTTCAGATCGTGAAGGTCTTGCGCACAATGTTGCTCTTGAATCCATGGAGACGGATTTATGTATCGCACTAAAATGTCAATTGATTTTGAGCCATGGTGATGGGACAATTATTTTTGCAAAAGCTGTAGAAATTTTATGTGATTTACGCAGGATCTCTACTTTATACCTGGACGGTATTCTCAACTCACATGTTGAAATTGACAGCGAGTCTTCAAGCTGACCCCAGTGTACTCATGTAATACTGGAGAATATCGTGTGCTGTTATTAGACAATAAAAGGAATAAAGGGCCAAAATATCATGAACATATGTGGACAATGGTATATGGGGTTTAATGAAGAAATCGTGAGTTATCACGGTGCAATATTTATTGATATTCAACTCTTATATTTTGTTAAAATATGTACGTATGTAATTAATGTATGTAATGGAACGTGTAAGAACGGTAGGGGTGGAGAATAATCATAAAGGACAAGACTTCATTGCGTTTGCCACTCCTGTTTATATGTATGAAATATGAGAGCACTAATATACATTTAATATCTGGAATAACAAACACTAACAAATTAATTCTTACCTATGATAACGTTGCCAAGGTTTAAAGTGAGAACAGCTCATAAGCTGGCAAAGGGATTCCAATTTTCAAAATACAGTCAAACACGTAAGTAAAGGCCATCTAAAGGAAGATCATAATGACCTTTATAGACAAGGTGGTCTTAATTTGGAGTTTAAGCTGTTGTACTTTTATCAATGAAGGTTTATCATGGAGTGGTATTTATTTGCAGGGTGGTATTTACTCGGAGGTGGTCTTATACCATGTATACAGAAGTTTGACTGTACTTAGATTTGAATAATTCAAAGAGTAGTTTTCATAACTGCCTGTATGTGCTGAATCAACTTTTTAAGGTTCATGTCACAGAAATGAATTTTTACTTGTTTATGAAAGAACAAACGAGAGTTTTATAACGGTTAAAGTATGGTTTTAAAGCATGTCGGGTGCTTATCATTTAAAGAAAGTAGCATTAAATGTAAAATTATTTAGTCATGAAATTATCAAAATGTAAACAAATTAGTATTTTGACTTCCGTACAAAACAGTTAATCACTGTCACTACTTATTGAAGCAAGGTAGTGAAGATTATAACAATTAACAACAAATAGGCGCTCCCTACCGGTCGCTTTCTTTTGGGTTCTCATTGTTAAAATTTAATTTAATAAACATATTCACAATAGGGCTACAATTACAAAAATGCTATTGAGAAATTTAAAGTAAAGTTTTTCTGGGGCAAATTGGGCCTTTTAGTGTGATATGATGAACACTTACGATGGCTGTTCTTAACTGACGTGTTGAATTGTTGAATTTTAAACAAAATGGAAACCCATCAATTGAGATTATATTTAAAACACAGGAGAACAGTATGTAAGAGTGCCAAAGGTGTTGGTTTTGTAACTAAACATATTTTTGTAAGCCTTTGACAGCCATCCAGCGTTACTTGTTAAGCTTGTCTGAATGCATTTTAAAGTTGTGTGCTTTTATAACGACAAATTTTATTGGTTAATAGTTATGCAGCATTCTACCGTAAGCATGACCCCCACCCACGGGGAAAAGCCAACATGGACTTAGATTATAGGTCACGCCCTTGTTTACTGGTTAAATCGTCGCTAAAACCCCGTTGGAAAACCCCCAGTCATTTTGGCGCAAAAACAAAAGCCACCGCATTGTCCGGGCGTTACTGGGAGAGACGGAAGGTAAAACGTCCGTTCCGCCGCCTTACTACGTCCTTCTCGGGGGGGGGGGGGGGTGGGGGGACTGATGCATGAATTGGCAAAGAATGTTTATGTGTTATGCCCTTATGCCTTAAACTTCAAATTAATGAAATAAAATGTAATTAAAACGCTAAATATGTGTATGCCCACTAAACATGTTCTACACACTCTACACAATATATTGATAAATGGCATTTGAAATTTATTATCAGCTAGTAATTGTACTTTTTTTTCTTACTCATGTACGAAATGTTATACATTGCATTATATATATTATTATATCTATCACATATAAATGGAGAAACAAGATTTCATATTGTTAATTTTTGAAAAGTTTATGTAAAATGTTAAAATTGCATAAATGAGAATTAAACATAATACACGTGTGTTGTTTTAAATTTTGGTCTGAAATCACGGTTGCGTTTCATAAAAAATCTTAGGACCGATTTTAAGTCGTAAGAGCAAAAGAAGGATAAAACTGCGTTTCACGAAAAGTCCTAAGTACAAACTGAGTTATGACTTTTCCTAGGTACAAGACTTAGGAGAGTTTCTTGAAACGCCATTAAGTGCAATACAATTTTATTCCAGTCTTAACTTTAGTCTTATGTTTTAGACTTACGATTCTTTATGAAACGCACCCCTGGTACATGTATATACTTTTGAAAGTTTCGTGACCTACTGTGTCCTATAAGGACCAGTTTGTTTGTTTGGTAAGTTAAAAGTTTGGTAAGTTTAATAAACATCATTTTCAACACATTTTGAACATTATGTCGGAGGTCGGTTAATCTTCCGGGATTTAATGGATAACTAACCAGTAATGACTAATTTCTCCGCAAGTGACCGGTTACATATCCAGCATGACCTTTAGCTCGTTTTTTGTGTCGAAAAAACAAATGAGCCGCGTCACGACAAAACCAACATAATGGGTTTGCGACCAGCATGGATCCAGACCATCCGCATCCGCGCAGTCTGATTAGGATCCATGCTGTTCGCTATCAGTTTCTCTACTTGTTATAGGGTTTGCAAGCGAACAGCATGGATCCTGCTGTTCGCTATCAGTTTCTCTACTTGTTATAGGGTTTGTAAGCGAACAGCATGGATCCTGATCAGACTGCGCGGATGCGCAGGATGGTCTGGATCCATGTTGGTCGCAAACTCATTATGTTGGTTTTGTCGTGACGCGGCTCAAATTAGATGTATTATTTAAGTCATAGTAGCGTTTCCGGTTTTCGTCCGAAAACTTTGACCTTGATCATGACTTTTTAAGTTCTTGTTAAAGTACCGCTCGTTGCCAACTTACCAAGTGCCATTTAAGAGAAGGAATAGTTTACATATTTTCATGAACGCTGGTGTGAAAAGAAACGAATATCTGAAGGGCAAAAATCAAAATCCTACCCATCTATATACACAACCTTTACACAGTATAATAAAGCTATATCTATGTGTTTTTTTCTATTTCTTTTTTTTCATTTTAAGTAGTATAATTATAATGGTTACCTTTTAAGTCGGGTTTTAACTGTTCATGCGTGTGCCTTTCCCTGTTAGATAAATATACAAGTATATTTCTTTCATAAAGGTATTTTGAAAGTATCCCTTTAATAAAGAATCAAATAGCAATTAACAGTATCGATATAATCCTTTATGCACGTACATGTACATTTTTAATACTTCGAAAAAGCGTGCGTGGTGTATTTTGTCTCACTGTAGCTACTAGAAACGTATATAGGCGACTTAATTCTTTCTTCAGACGACTCTTTAGTGGTCTTTGTTTCAAGTGTCGCCTAAAATTTGTAAAATTAGTACGGGGATAAAACTTGTAACCTCTTGATATGCAGTTATGTATAAACCAGACATATGTTTTCACAAAATCTCTGCACCCTCTCTCATGAAAAAAAAATCGTCGTTAAAACCTCGTTGGAAATACCCCAAGCCATTCTTGCGCAAAAAACAGAAGCCAACAGATTTTCCCGGCGGTACGGGAAGGTGGACGGAATGTAAAATGCAGCCTGTTTCTTTCCACCGAATCCGTTCTTCTCCGCGGGGGGAGGGGAGGGGTGGACCGAGGTTACTATTGACGATGACTGCATATACGTGTTTAGTTTCCTCCTGTATAATTTTGTATCTGATTAAAACCCTAGTGGGGAAAAAAATATGCCGCAAAATAGTTATACAGGTTGGCCGACTTGTTCTAGTAAAGCATGAAGAATGGTCACAATATAACTATTTCAAGTTTACGGTAATGAAATAATATAATTTATAGGAGGACTGTCCTGCCAGTTACTGTGAAGCAAAAAAAAATTTAAAAAAATAATGTTTAAACGCATGACTTAAAATTTTATGCTAGTGTTAACAGGACAGTTTTAACAAATCAATATGTTACATTTTCTTTTCTCTTGATGTACCAGTGCAAATGTGTCAGTTAATTTATATAACTGACATGAACTGAATTTTCTCATTTTAATACAAATATCGAACGGTTTGTATATCATCAAGGGCATCTGTGTCACAGAGATTTATCCGTGTAGTTATATTCAAGTTTAAAGGGAAACAAATCTTGCAAACACAAATAAAACAATGTTACATAGGTTACTCCTCTTGACACCATTGACTGGAGCACCACACTAAATACCGTATTCCGGTATATATGTTTGGAGCTAAATCCTTAAATATGCACGAATTGTGAGGTAAACGTACTCTTTAATTATAATATGCTTTATTTGTTTACTTCACACATAATTGAACAAAACACAACAGCTGTTTTTGGTGAAAGAAACAACCTCTGATATACTGATTTCTAATACATAGTATATTTTTCATACTTTTATTTCAAGTACTTTCAAGTACATGTAGTTATAAATACAGCGTTAAACATTTTAACTGAAATTCATCATTTATTTAGTTGCAGGATCTTCATCATCATCGTTGTCATCATCATCATCACCACCACACTCATCATCATCATCACCACCACACTCATCATCATCATCACCACCACACTCATCATCATCATCACCACCACACTCACCGTCATCGCAACCACTATCATCAACATCAAACATAATCATCACTACTACCACACTCATCATCATCGTTGCCATCATCATCATCATCATCACCATCACACTCACCGTCATCGCAACCATTATCATCAACATCAAACATAAGCATCACCACTACCACACTCATCATCATCACCACCACACTCACCATCATCATCATCATCACCACCACACTCACCATCATCGCAACCATTATCATCATCATCAACATCAAACATAAGCATCACCACTACCACACTCATCATCATCACCACTACCACACTCATCATCATCACCACACTTATCATCAACGCAACTATTATCATCATCATCATCGTCATCATCACCACACTCATTATAATCGCAACTATTATCATCATCATCATCATCATCACCACAATCATCATCATCATGGCAATCATCATCATTATCCTCATCATGGCAATCAACATCATTATTATTCAATAATCATTTACGTAAATGACGTCATTTTCCATATACTTCATATTTTTTATAACATCAATTCAAAAGAAACTTTATTTATCTTGGTGCATTCAGTTCAATGTCGAGTGAATGTCCTTTTAAATATTCAATCAAAATTAGTAACATTATTTTGCTTGCGGCATTCGCTTTGCATTATAAATAGCAAATGAGCAGTAGTTGTTGAAAAGAACTTAAGTTTAAGCATTTATTTTGCATGCACGATTATTATACCTAATGTATGAAAATTGACACGATAAATGCGGAAAATTACGTAAATAAGGATAGACTGCTGTCTGGCCTGTAACACTTCAAAGGGAATGTGCCGCAAGGGTAATAGATAAACATGTTTATGTATGTAAGTAAACCATATTATGTTGTATACATTAACCAGAGCACCTCTCCTATAACAGGGACATTTTCCAACCAGGACACAATGCCCCCAGCGTTAATATTTATCATTGATCACCCCCAGCCCATAGCCCCAGCGGAAATTTAACGATGTTTTTGACCCTCCCCGCCCCCTACGAGTTTTAAAATTGGTAAATATAATTATGCCAATTGCAGTCCTGCTTTTTAATGATCAACATTATTTTTTGTCCAATCAAATTGTAGTATTTTTCAAATTTCTGCTAAGTCTAACTTTGGTTAATGTGTACTAACTAAATAAAATTCACTTAATATGTCGTCTAACCAGTCTAACAAATTTCAATAATGCATTATATTAGGGAGGAGTTAGAGGTATGGTTTACACTTTGATTTGTAAAATGTGAAGGTTAGCAAAACAATGCCAACATAAAAAAAGTTAGTTGAGGTCAGGTGTTTCTAAATGTGAGTATACAATCAATTGATTTATTACATAGATAATACATGTTAGGCACGCAGAGACAAATGATTACATAGTAACTTTTTCATATCCTTTTAACTCTAAGATAAATGTCTGTTATAAATATAGAGTGTTATAAACTTTATATTTTCCAAAAAAAATAATTTTCACTTGATAGGAATGAACTGCATTAACAATCATTGATATTAAGAATACAATGATTACATTTTTTTGCTGGAAAACTCATTGTAAATGGACCCCCCCCACCTGTAAACCTAAATTGATACACAGAAAAAAATTAAAAAAATAACTGTTTTTCAAATGAGCAAATCAATAGGGATTTTAAATGTTAGTGAATAACTTGAAGCTAATAACGAATTTGTATCAATTTATAATCTTTAATGTATTTTTCTCACATTTTCCATTTATTTTAAAAGGATATACACTTTTCATTAACTCCATTGTTTGCACCTAATTGCATCGTTTTCCTCTTCAGATATTTTATAGAAACATGATAGTCTTACTGTAGATAAAGGTATAAATTCTGTGACATTTCAGTAAAAATGTGCCTGATTATATGTTGAAAGGGCCATTTATTTAGTTTATCTAAATGTGAAATGTTAGAAACTTGACAAGGTGTAGACATCTTGTAGAGCGAAAGGGCGGAGCTATCAGTGATTTAGAGAAATGCCTTGTTTTTTGTGAAAAAAATAATGTTGATCATTAAATAGGTTAATGTTTAATAATATGCATTAACAAAAATAATTGGTCGCCTGCCGCAGGCAGGCTTGACCAATTATTTTTGTTAATACATATTATTAAACACTAACCTATACCTAACGCCTGGATTATCTTGCTTGCTTCGCTTTTTAGCTTAACCCTTTACCGCTGTGTCTTAAAACATCAGTCAGAGGCGACAGAGGAAGGCCGCCATTTTATGCCCGAAATAATTCATGACGGGACGTAAGGCAACAACAGGGTTCTTAGCCTTACAATAATTAAAGCTTAACATTTGTGTTGAATTTGTGTTTGTGCCTAGACTTTTTTTCTGCGTGTGAATAATTCTACTTCCAGTTGATTGACAAAAACTTGTACATGTAGTATTTCGGTACTAATATATTTGAAGACTCCCAGTTTTAAATAATCATTCATTGAAACTAGTTTCAAACAATAGCAAAATAATTATTCGGGTTCATAGTAAAGAATGTGCCGTTGATATGCTCGATTAAAGGTATGCTGTCACATGCCTGTATTCCAATCTGGAAAAAAATTAAAGGGAGATAATATGAAAAGTTTAAGGGAGGTAATTAATATAAACACTGCTTTAAAGTTCTCTTAACGCATTTTCGTGAAATATTTGACATTTTTAAAGCTGTCTCCTCGGGACAGTCACACCATTCATAATAAACTTTAAAAATAGTTTTGCTACAAAACGTATGTTTTTTAAAATAAATAAATGTGCATAAAAGAAAAACAATAAGTTATGGAAAATAACCAAAAGTTATGGTTTCACACGGAAGGAGAAGATCTCCGAGTAATTCAGGAAACTCATGAAAAAAATACGAATTTTCACGAGTTGAAATGGTAAGTCATATTATACGGAAACTGACGAAGTATGCCGAGATCATACGGAAAGTGACGAAGTTTTGCGAGTTTACACGGAAAATGACGATGTTTTAAAAATTCCATCACCTTAAATCCGGCGTCACCAAGACAGCCTAGAAATATGCCGACTGTTCCGCCTTGCATTGTATCTATATAATTTTCCGTTTGAAATATACCGACGGGTGTGTATGACGGTAAATAAGCCCTACCATTGCATGCTTCCATCACCTGCAATATAAAAGGTAATATGAGCCGCGTCATGACATAAACAACATAGTGGGTTTGCGACCAGCATGGATCCAGACCAGCCTGCGCTTCCGCGCAGTCTGATCAGGATCGATGCTGTTCGCTTACCAACCTATTAGATTCTACAAGTAGCAAAACTGGGCAGGCCGGTCTGGATCCATGCTGGTCGCAAACCCATTATGTAGGTTTTGTCGTGACGCGGCTCTTATATAAAAGTACAGAATCTGAAGAAAACAACATTAAAAAGCAAGTATACGAGTAGGAAGCTTCTGTGATTTCGCAAAATATTGCGTTTTATGTTTTCAGACGTAGTTTGCTTACACCTAATAGATCTATTTTCACAACGAACGGAGTATACTGAAAAGGCAAAAATAATGTCTATATCATCAGTGCATGATAGAAAACCAGTCCCAAACACAACAAAAGTTAATTCATTTCTTTTAAAGGTGATGGGAGGAGGTAGGCGCAAGGAGTTACGTTACACCAAAGAAGAAGTAGTCATATGTCGGCTTTTCCAGTTACACTGTTGGAGGAAGACCTCAGGTGTCCCTCAGTGCATTATTTCAGGCACAAGCTAGCACTGGAGTAGAAGCACCGATATTTCTGAAGTTATCTGAAAGGGTTCCCAGCGAGATCCGAACATACAGTCGTAAGGGGCAGTTTGTTTGAAGTAAACGGCGTTAGGGGACCTAACAAGTAACAACCCAGCCACTGACTCCCCACTTTATTTTATAATAAACTTTGAACTATTTTTTTTTTAAAAAAATGCGTACGCACGTATGCACACAAACACCACTAATTCAATACAATGTTAACAACAACATCATACTAGAATACAAAAACAAAGCAACAACAACAAAAAACGTATTCAAACCTGCAAACCCTTTTTCCACGAATGAAATGATGACGTCACATTACAGTGCTCAATGACAAATGCTTCAGGGGAAATGCCACTTCCGGTAAAACACGTGGTCAAATTATTGCTAACTTGCGTTTGTTCGACAATATCACCCATAGTTCCGAATTTGTCACACTTTCTGTGTCCTAAAAGTAAAATTTTGCAAAAGTCCATGAATTTTTCCATACCTCATGTTTAAAGGATCCTGATTTTATTTTATGCTGCATGAAATTTGCACCGATCGTTTCATAGAGAAAAACGTAAAGAACAATCGAAAATGTTGCAGGATCGGTTTCATTGAGCTTGTTCATAGACGGTACTGGAAAGTTCGAGTTTCCGGCCACGCCCTCTAGCGCCGGTTTAATCAAAATTTAAAAGACATTTAAAAAGAAAAAGTTCATATTACAAGGAGTGAAATTTTGCGGATATACTATGTAACAAACAAAAACATTTTTGGTTACATCTGCAAATACAAATTACAGTAATGAATAACTGGGTTAAAATACGGATCAATTTGAGGATCAAGATTATTCATTGGATCAACTTTAAACATGCATATACTGAACAACCCTCAACTTTAAAATGCGAAATGTTCCCTGGCGAGTAAGCATAAACGCGAGCCTTTTTAATCCCAACCCTCGCGAGAATTTCTTTATTAATGGTTGCTAATTAATCGTCTATAAGGTAAGGGGAAGGCTAACCTAGCAAGAATAAATGTTAGCCTCATAGAAGGACATCTACAGACTCGCATTTGAAATTCAAAAATAAAGTTAAGCATATGTCATTTTGACTGGTCCAAAACAACTTTCTATTTGTAGACGCATGCGAGGATAGATTTGTAATTGTCAGTCTATTTTCGAACCCTCGCGAGGGATAAAAGCTTTGCCACAGTTTGGGGAAAGATGCACATAATCCAACTAAACCTATATCGTTAGTCACGTTTTGTTCAAGAATATTGATTAGATCTTTAAAAATAAAGTTACCTGTAGATGTTGTAGTTACTGTTGTTAATACAGGGGGCGAAGTAATGGCATCTGAAGATAAAAGAAGGTAATTTTGATTCAAACACAAATATCGTTTCTGCCTATTGTCATACATTAATATAAACATATGAGCCGCGTCATAACAAAACCAACATAGTGCGTTTGCGATCAGCATCCGCGCAGTCTGATCAGGATCCATGCTCTTCGCGTACAAACCCTATAACAAGTACAGAAACTGATAGCGAACAGCATGGATCCTGATCAGACTGCGCGCATCTATGCTGGTCGCAAACGAAACAAACGCACTATGTTGGTTTTGTCGTGACGCGGCTCATATATAAACTACAGTTATGTACTATTATTGGTCGTGTGGTCGTGTTCTTGCAAAGGGAGATAATCCTTAACTCGGCAAACATTGGTCCCTGAGCATAAACACATTTTTACAGTTAAAAAATGCTAAATTTATCCATACTGGGGGGGGGGGGGTACGTATCGCGATGACCATTCTTTCGTAATAGGTAGTGCACTATGATTTTGCTTAGTAGCGCTGTTTCTAATAGTTATCAATAATTATCGTTTAAAATTTAAGATTTCTATACGCTTGATATTTTATGATTTGTGATCAGTCTTTTTTATATATGAAAATGTTATTTTTTGTACATTCAGATTTTTGTACTCATAATCATTAAAGATTCTGTATGTATTAAGGATGCAACAACACTATAGAGAAATGTTATAAACGTATATAATTATTCTTCTTAAAAACAATTTCCAAACATCCAAGAATATGTTAAATATGTACTGCAAATGTTTATACGCATTATAAGTAATATTTAAAATATATGCATTCATTTATTTTTGAAAAATTTTGCTTAGACTTTATCGAAATTAAATTTCTTATTACTTCCCTTTATTTCATTGAAATGTATGTTTGGCAATATCTTTAAAATAATGCTTTTTTGAAATTAACGATCATTATATTGATATAAAACCATAAAGAAATCGAGTGATAGGATCTTTAAATACACTAAGTCCTTTGAAATAAAATAAATCCATGTGTATCGTTAGTACTTTCGATATGTCATCATTATTATATTTAAGGGTGGATTGCTTGGTGGCTGTAATCGGGCCTCCGTGGCCGAGTGGTTAAGGTCGCTGATTTGAGATCACAGGTCCCTCACCGCTGTAGGTTCGATCCTCACTCGGGTCGAAATCTTTCATGTGAGGAAGCCATCCAGCTGGCTTACGGAAGGTCGGTGGTTCTACCCAGGTGCCCGCTCGTGCCTGAAATAATGCCCGAAGGGGCACTTGGGGTCTTCCTCCACCAATAAAGCTGGAAAAAAATCGACGAAAAAATCTCGGCGGGACGCTCTAAGATGGCCCGACTTGAGTGTACGGTCGCCCACATGGGCTTTCCGGCGGCGACCTTAAATAAACGCATTACAAAAAAAAAATGGCTGTAATCGTACGAACGATTTAATTGATCATTTTCTCCTCTCAATAATAAAATAGAACAAAAGATTATTCAAAAATTGAATAAATAAATAAAAAAATAAATAAATGAATAAAAAAATGAATAAATACATGCATGCATATTAGAAGTCAATTTGTGCGTTTAATCCGCCGGTAACATAATGCATATTTAATCGTGTACCAAATGTAATAGTACGTGCTCACCTTGACACAAATCACCAGTGAATCCCGTGGAACAATTGCACGAAAAATACGGGCTCGGCGTCATTCTATGGCAGCTTCCGTGAATACATGGCTTGATGTGACAAACATGTTCTGTGACAAAGAAAATTGTTTTATATCTATACCATTTTTAAAGTATCAGAAATTTATCAGACGCCAAACATTATGTAAATAAAAACGGCACAAAGTTTTCCGATTCTAAAGGAGCTAGCTTGTATATTAAATGGTAGTATATTACGTCATCGCGCACCTGCAAGATGCTATTTTTTTGTAACATGCCGTCAACTCGAAAGAAAAATATGTTTTCATTCTAAGAAATTGTAAGAAAATCAATAAAAAAAAAGAATAATAAGCAGCGCACCAAAGACTGTCTTTAGTACTTGATATATGAAAATTAAAAAAAAACCGTTTAAATCTTAACTGCCTGGTTAAGTCCTGGAAACGGGATAATTTTGCCCTTATGTGCTCCCACTACAATTTATCCCGTTTTCAGGCTTAAATTAGAGAGTAAAACTTTAAACGTTTTCTTTTAAATTATATCAAGTACTAAAGTCAATCTTTGGTGCGCTACATTAATTTTTTTAGTAATCTTACGATTTTCAGAATAAAAACATATATATATTGTTTTCGCGCAACGAAAATAAAAAGCCCGATTAGGAGCGTTTTGTAGGTGCTGGACGAAATCGTTTCCTACCTACACAATATCGTTACAACTCGGCTTTCTACGACAACCACTCGAAGTCGCCAGAAGTGTTCCGATTGCTGTTTTACACAAGCATGACGTCATTATACCGTTAATGAAGTCATGTTTCTTTAACACAAATAAGAGATTTAAATTAAATATGATTTAGGACTATATGTTAATTTATATGAAAGAGAAATAAACAGTATCATGAAAATAAACCAAAAAATCATTCAAAGAAGTCCGTAGTACTTCCAAAATTCGCCGACAATCACCTCGACAATATTCTGGACAATACAAAACAATCATAAGAACTTTGTCGACAATTCGCTTGACAGTCCACTCGACAAAAAAAATGACGTCAACCGAACGGCTTTTCAGAAGAACTATATACTTCTGTTAAAAACATGAAGGTAAAAGATATTGTCTTTTAATGAAAAAAGTCAACATATAGAATAAAATATGAAAATCACATACTTTCACAATTGACTCCGAAAAATCCTTTTCGGCAGTCGCAATGGTAGAACGGATCATCATGAGTCTCTGTGCAATTCCCTCCTTTGTTGCAAGTGGTTTCTGGGTGGTGACAGGGATGTCCTAGAAAGAAAGCATATCAAAAATCGCTGTTAATTTTACTCATGTATTTCATTAAATACAGGTTATTATAAGGGAAACAACCCTTGCATGTTTGTCATGTCATATTTTTACCAGTTTTCTCCCTTTTCAAATCATTTTAAAAAAGCTTACTAGTAGCGACTCGCTTCGTAATTTTTTTCCAGGGGTGTGTTTAAATGTAAAATGACAGTTCTGTTAACTGAAGAGACTTCAGCGAACATCAAAACAAAAGTGACATATAAAGTTATGGAAGCCAGTTCTCTCAGTTAACAAATAAAAGAGGAATATGGGTATATATGAAGAGGTATGTAAACATATAGAAAGTAGTCCCTATGTCTATGTACATTTACTATATGGCCTATTGACCTTGACCAAAAAAAAAGTTAGAAAGGTAGAATTCACAAAGATGTCTCTTTATACGAAGTTAAGTTGTAATATGTTATCTAGTATTGGAATGAGTGACAGACACAAGTCCTTTACGAAGAACAATCGCAACTACTCGGCCCTTTCCGTCAGTCTTCGGATAAGGACCTCGAACACACAGAACGAATGCGGTATTTCGGTCTTACCTACGCTAAGAAACTAAACATGTAAACAAATAGTAATTTAATGCTGGGAGTTGTTGACAAGTTTATTTCCAATATATGTATTAAAAGTCCACCTAAAATAAATAAGTGAATTCATAGGTAGAAAAGCAAACAGTACATTTTTTATAATTTATCATTATTGTTGTAGAAACCGAAAGTACAAAATACCAACCTGTTGAGATTTAGTCGTATTTGTTTAAAATTGAACATCAGTGGGCATACTTAAATTGCAAATTGTTGCCAGACATATTTTCAAGCATAAGAGTAACGGGACACACATAAGATGTGAAATATATACATTCGTTTTACATTATCTCTGTTTCTGTTTACATCTGAAACCACGGGGTAGAACTACTTTTAATCCGTATTGTTTCCGAAGTTATTATAGATAATAGCCGAGGCAGTTCCGAATGACTGAAGAACTCTCTTAGGTGTGGGCGAATTTAAATTCATGGGGCATGATTAATATTTGACTTGTACAAGTTCTCAAGGCATTGGTACATTTTCAATATCAAAGCTGGAGGCATTGAAGTTTATATCAATAAGACTTAAACATATTTTCCGTAAGCAATTTAATAAAAATTATGTCCACTTCATCTTGGAATGTGAAACATTTTAAACAAATGGATATGATGTAGATACATGAACAAAATTTTAAAGTGGTCAACAAGGCAATACCACATGCCAAATATTTAAGGTTTAGGCGTTAATAAGGTATAAAGGTGTGCGTATGTGTATCTGTAACAGATGTGTCCTTGGCCTATGTGTAGAACAATATGAACAACTATGAAAGAGGACTACTGTAGTGTGGTTAATGTGCAGCCTTTGGTTTCATATATATGATTTAAAGAGAAACTAAATTACACATTAGATAGGGATCCCAATTTCTGTTTATGCTCACCAGAGCACAACTTGCACATAGTGAGCATAAAAGGGAATTATATTGTAAGAGGGCTTGGTATAATGATCATCTCCTGTACAAAGATTCAACGACAATAATCAACACAAATATAATTCCTTTTCCCTATATATCTAATACTATCCCGGATCCCGGGCGTATTTCTGGCTTAAATTAATTCTTTTATTTAACACTTTGATTATCTAATTGGGAAAAACTTTTAACAATATCATCATCAGTCGTATTCCACGTGTTTCAAATGATATTATATTCATGTATTCCGACTGAAATGATGATAATGGTGATGACGATGATAATGATGACCAGGATGTTAATGATAATAGTGACAGTGATGATGATAATGATAATGATAATAGTGATGATCATAATGATGATGAATTATGATTATAGTGATTATGATAATTGATAATGATAATGGTGATGATAATAAAAATAATGATGATGATGATGGTGTTGATGAAAATGATAATGATGACAGTGATGATGATAATGATAATGGTGATGATAATAATGATGATGGTGATGATGATGATAAATGATATTAATATCAATAATTAGCATGAAAATAATAAAATTGTGAAGAACATCTTCATTTTGTTTTGACTAAGTTAATATAGCAATGCACCTTTTTTCAAGACAATCATAAGCTATCTTAATAGAAATTAGACAATGTAGAAAAGATCGAACAATAAACAGCTTATGGATGACTGAAGGACCAGTTGCAATAGACATGATGAAAGTGATTTACAACGACACATTAATTTGTTTTTCGGACTGATCCCACAAATATAAATTACAGGTTAATTACCTATAATAGACAATTAAAGGAACATTAAACCTCAGAAACTAAGCATAAGATAGCGCTATTCCATGGCCAAAGAAGCGTGTCTTTAAAAAAAAAAAAAAATAAATAGATAAATAATAGTTTTTCATTTTTGAGGCTCAATGGGCCTTTAAAGATGTAAAGTTAATTTGGTAAACATGACCTATTTCAATGAAGATATCTGAACTGACATATACATGTACATTTATGTTAATTTTACTTCCTGGTACTCTCAAATCAAAACAATGCTCAAATTTATATCTGATCATAATTATATTATATCCATAACCTTATAAAATGGACGATATTTAAATCCCGTTAACGACTATTGTTGCTGTAATTTTATGTGAGGAAGCTGTCGATGTAACTTCAGGTGATTTTACCCAAGTGCCCACTTGTGCACGGATGGACGCCTCAGGTCACCCTCAATTATATAATTCAGAGATACGAGTTATGCCTTTGATTTTTAAAAACGAAGCCTACTACCTTTAACCTGAGAAACGTTTTTTTTAACCAGAGAAAATCTCTTGATGAACGATCAGTTCATAATCGCAATTATGCAAGAGTTCGGGTATTTAATCCCGCTGCTTTATCCCGGCACCCTTCATAAGTTACTTGTGTATTTTAATAATCAGTTATTTGTACATTTCATATTTTAACTTGACACATATAAAATTAATATATTATAAAATGATTGATTCATCAATAAATAAATTATTTTAACAGTGTAACTAAATTTCCGTCTAAAAGCCTTAGTTAATAAAGAATTAATTTTAGTTTGATTGTGTAGGAAGCTATAAGCGTATAGACACACTATCGAATCTGTTCCTGGAACCAACTAGTGTAAGTTTTCTTGCTCAAGGAAACAACGACTCCCTCCTGCCATTGATCTTAAAGCAGCACGCCCCCAGATTTATGCTTATTTTCATAAAAAATTTGAAAATGTGTTTAAAAGAATCATTTAGTGAAATAACAAAAAAGAAGCAATATGCAAAATTATCAATGGCACTTACAGCCCACGTGAATTATGAACAAAGAGGACAAAATATGCAAAGATTGCCCTTACTGCGTTAGTAACGCAGTTGAAATATAATTATAAATACTGAAAAATCAGTCATGTAAATTATTATTTGAATCTTGAATATTTTTACTTCTCCTAAAATTTTCTCAAATTTGATTTTATTGAAATATTATCGCTCATCTGGAGGCGTGCAGCTTTAAAATATATTTTACAGAAAGCTGCATAATCTATTTTAAAAGTGTATAAAGCTATATTTTATTAATGGAATTATTTTTATATAAAAATTCATTAACATTTAATAGAGGATATTCAAGTTTTTTTTTCCTATGAATACAGGATTTATTTTTCATCGAGTGGTATGAAATATGATAATTTATATTATCACAACATTAAAATAAATCCTGTATTTATAGGAACATTTTATGTTTATTATATTCTTTTTCTCTTTTTATTCATAACCATATACAAATTATTGTGTTTCTAAAGTATAATATGAACCGCGCCATGACAAAACCAACATAACGCGTTTGCGACCAGCATGGATCCAGACCAGCCTGCGCATCCGCATGATCCATGCTGTTCGCTTACAAAACCTATAACAAGTAGAGAAAGTGATAGCCCTGATCAGTCTGCGTAGATGCTGGTCGCAAACCCATAATGTTGGTTTTGTCATGGCACGGCTCATATTATATTATATAGTTTGAATTAATGGTTGATTCTCAAAAGAGTTGTAACATAGAATATCTTAATACTAGTACGCACTAATATTCAATGAAAACAAAACATTTTATACAACTTTTTTAAGAAACGGTTTGAACCGTTTATCAATGATTGATTTTGTGCATGTTTCAATTGTTTGTAACATTTTCCTGTCATACAAGCATTTTGGAAGTATATACTTTTTCAATATTCAACAAACAATTTCTGCCGCATGCACTTAAAAATGACGGATGAAAAACGGTTTTGTTGGTTTGTTTGTTTGTTTCATTGGGTTATAGTCACACCGACACAGTATAAGTCATATGGCGACTTCCAGATTTACTGGGGGGGGGGGACCTCAGGTGCCCTTCCGTGCATTATTGCAGGGACGAACGAACTTAAAAAGGATAAACATGACTATTATAACGTTTAAATGATAGTTTTAAAGCATGTTAGATGCTTATTAGTAAAGGAATGTAGTGCTGAGTGTGAAATTATTTGTCTTAAAGGTAGAAAAATGTTAACAAAGTAGTATTTAGACTATTTTTCACTATAACTGTACTTGTTTCCTCAAAAGGCAAAAGAAAGAAATGCTGGTTCTGGTAAATGACCATTGAGTAAAATCTATTGTAGGTAGCAAAAAAATAAAAAGCTTTTGAAAAAAAAAAATTCAATAAAACGTTTCTGAGGCATTTCTGAGGCTTTTAAGCCCTACATTGATGATTATTAATTATGAATTTGCAACCCTTTGAAACCATATGATAGACATAGCAATGATAAGTTTAAGCAATTTTAATATCAAATACATATACGTCATGTACATTTGGAGCAGACCACAGTATAAGTATATAGAGCCAAACATGACGTCACACTGCTTGTATTACTGTAAGCATCCTAAAAGTAATTATTTTGGGAAATCAATCAAACAAACAAACAAACAAAACAAGCAAAAAAAGTAAAATGAATAAATAATAAAAATAAAAAAATAAATAATTAGTTTAAACAAATTGGAGGAATTACTTCAACCTACTTGCAAACGTGTTCGAAGCCAAGCTATACCAAACAACAAGCGTCAGCAGATATCCTTAAAATATACACAAGTCATATTGTTGAATAATAAGTACTGTGACAAAATATAGCACTGATAACGTTAGGATCCAACTTTGAATAAGCCAGGCATACGAAAAAGCTAATAGCTCAAGCGGTTCTCATCTGCTTACCAGAGCGATCTATATATCTATTTTTGACCATTGACATAGGTAAGTTTTTATTATTTTGTTTCTAACAATACATATTCATATAGATGTATAATAATATTTAAAATCCAAACAACGGCAATTTTTTACTGTTCTTGCACTGACGCTTTGATGACGTCACTTTATTTTGATGTCACGCCATGACGTCTGAACGCAACGAATATAGCTCAATAGTCAAAATATTCCATTTTTATTTATCGTGTGAAAATGCCGTTAAAAGTTTTATCATTTGGAAATATTTACTGTAACATACATGTGTATTATACGGAAGAGCACTAGTGCCAGGTGTATTTTTTTTATTAACTCGAAATTTCGACTGACTAACTCGAAATTTTGAGTTACTAACTCGAAATTTCGAGTTACTTAGTCGAAATTTCGAGTTACTTAGTCGAAATTTCGAGTTACTTACTCGAAATTTCGACTTAGTAACTCGAAATTTCGACTTACATTGCACGACTTTCATTGGCTGCCGCCGAAAGCAAGGATTGAATTCAAGATATTTTCTATCGTGTGTAGTTGTTGCACATTGACAGAGCACCTTTAACATTTATTTAACAGAACAATTTTATAGGGTCAAATTGTCCACACATACTGAACATATCCTTCGCTTTTTTGTGGAGGTGGGGGGGGGGGTGTAAAATCACACTTTCCACATTTCCGTGTTAACAGGGTGTTTCTTTTTCTTAAGCACACATACAACCATCATATGGAGAAACAACAAGTCCAAAACCCACCCTATTGTAAACTGTGCAATATCATGTGTTAATAATTTTTAAATGACGTGTATAGGCCAGTTAGTCTGTCATGTTTCTTTATACTAATAATATTTTTGTAACATTATTCATTAAATACTAATACTTTGACTCATATTGTGTTGATAAAAGTTGATTAAAATGATACTTGTTATAATATACATGTATATGTTGGGAACAATATAAAAGCATCCGATTTTACAAGAAATATAGTCAGTCCAACAATTTTGACAAAAGTCTCAGCAAGCCCTATTTTGGCCACGCCGCGATATTTTCCTCAGATGTCCCAAACGTAAAGTATAGGATCGGTTTTTTTACAGGGATGAGAAGAATATGATTAGTGAAAAGATATGTTCGAACAGATGGGATACAATACAACGTCTGAAGAACGCCTGAACGTACAAATTAAAGGTAGCCTTGTATTTTTTATGTCGGGTGTGTACATGCCATTACTAAGTTTAAGTTAAATTTCAATAGTTTTTGTCCAGGCACCCGTTTCTCCATCGCCATCGTTCAAAGGCACTGCCTACTATATCTTATACCATCTAAAATAACTTTGGTCATTCTTGTAATGTTAATAAGTCGTAATTTCGAGTTACTAAGTCGAAATTTCGAGATAAGTAACTCGAAATTTCGAGTAAGTAAGTCGAAATTTCGAGTTACTAAGTCGAAATTTCGAGTTACTAATTTCGAAATTTCGAGATAAGTAACTCGAAATTTTTGGTTAATAAAAAAAACATACACCTGGCACTAATGCTCTTCCGTAGTATTGATCATACTGTGTGCCCATAATAGTTATTTGGTTATTTTGCAAAAAAAAAAAAAAAATGCTAACCCAGTTATAGTTACACGAAAGCTAATAACAAAATTAAACAATTGACACACTCTGATTGCATATGGATAAAATCTGCATCAAGCAGTAACAATAAAGAACTACCATTTTTTCATTGGGTGTTTACGTCGCGCAAAGGCAAAATAGGTCATATGGCGACTTTCTAGGACCTCAGATGCTCTTCCGTGCATTTTTTCAGGCACGGACGGGCACCTGAATGGAACCACAGCCGTCCCGTAAACTGTCTAGATTCGAACCAACAGCGTCGTGTGACGAGTGGTTTGAGGTCATCGGCCACAGACAAATGACAAGATAGTAATTATTACAGACATACCTGTACACTTCATCCTGATAGACATATAGACGCTTTTTTATAGAAACCTTCCCTGTAACCTTGATCACCTTTTATCTTATCACAGAGGTCACATATACAGGAATAGACACTGTAGCTATCGAACCCAACTTTTTGTTTTAATCTAGATTTTAGGTTCAAGTTCCTTTATGTTTACAAACGCGCAAAACACCCCATCACACAAACACGTGTGCACGCGTGCACACACAAACAGGGACTCGACTTTCTGTGTCTGGGATGTGACTGCAGTAAAACATTCTACCGATGCATATGCGAGCAGGATGTTCTATGACAGTTAGACGGTTAACTGCAATGAATAACTGAAATTCAAAGTTGAACATCAATGAACTAAATGACAAGCAAAATTTTCATTAAGTCTTTATATAAAATGGTAGCCGGTTGGTAAACTTTTTAATTAGACTTCGATTTCGTTTCAGATAAATGACTTTTAATGAGCACTTGGTCTATGATGTATACGGAGCCATTAAGATGACAAGAAAAAATAGACTACGGCCATTACTTTTTAAAAAAAATGAATTTTATGAACAAATTATCTGTAAAATCATATGCATGTATAAACTCAGTGGCTATGTAAGTGGTACAACTTTTTTTTTATATATGGCAATAAAGTCACATTTTTAAAACCATGCCAAACGAATCATAACAACATTTCAGTTCATTTTTAGGTGAATTTATCTCATATATATAAGATCTTTACACGGAAAAGTTTTGAAATATGGCCTCAAAACGTGATGATCTTTGATAAAATGTTACGGATTTAGATGATATTTCCTTTGTTCTGAATGATTGCGGTCACACTTTTATGTTAAAGGGCAATTGAAATTAGTTTTAATCAAGCGCTTTTTTACTGTTAATCTTAAACGATATTCGGTTTAAAATTATTCGAGCGACTTGATTCAGCGAAAAACATCATCATCAACAACAACAAAAACAAGCAAAGACAACAATAAAACAACTAAGAAAAACAACAACAAAGAAAAGCAACAAGAAAGAAAAAAGAAAACAACAGCAGTCACCTATACTATGAAGCTTTCTATATGTAAGTTAGTTTTTTTTCTTTAAACATTTAAAAAAAAACAACAAGAAGATTTTTTGTTGTTGTCGGTGTTTCCTACATATTATCACATTGTTTATCTAAAGACCAGTCATTAATTTAACCCTTTACCACATATATACGCGAAACAACGCATTTTCGACCCTCCCCCTTTTTTTAGGCCTCAAATAGTGAAAAAATGTCCTATTTGGGCCCCAAACACATGTTTCGTTTGAGAAATGTTGGTCAAAAAATTGAGCACTTTTTTCGGCGCCGCCCCCCATCCAAAAGATACATCAGGGGGTTGCCAAGGGGGATGTGCCCCCTTCTGTTAGGGGGGTTTGAAGGGGGGCGGAGTCCCCTCATCGCCAAGAAAATTTTGGACTTGTGAGAGGCTAAAAATGACCCCAGGTCGATCATAATATAACGTGTAACCAACGCTGAAAAGCCTTTGACTCTATATCAATCCCTTGACAAGTTGCAGCACTTTGAAATAAATTTTGATGGAAAAAATCGAGGCAAAATAGTGATTTTTGGCAATTTTGAGATGTCCCCTCGTTGCCATGGTAACAGGAAATTTAAGACTGAGCATGTCGTCACAAAGGCAATGGTCCAGTCAACATTTGTGCCAAGTTTGATTAGTATTGAAGCATTTTTCATAGTTTCATAGCAGTTTGAACTTGTAAGAGGAGGCTTTTCAGTAAAAATGGCCATTTTTCACAATATGCTCATGGGGGAAAGGGTTAAACTCTTGAAACGATTTATGCCTTCATCAGGACCGGACTATAGCATCAAAATTGAAAGAAAGAAAGAAAGAACAAACGAATTAGAAGGAAAGGAGAACGAAAGAAGAAGGCAAAACACTAGAATTTACATTTTATTTATCTAAAAGCTGCATGCCTCCAGATGAGCCAAAATATTTCAAGAAAATAAAACTTGAGAAAAATGTATTGAGGTTTTATGAAAAGGAAAAAGACTTAAGATAAAAGTAATAATTTTATATGTTATTTGCGATTGATGGCCAATTTTTCAGTAATTTTCACCATATTTCTTCTACGTTACTAACGCACTAAGGGTTAATTTTGCATATTTTGACCTCTTTTTTGTAATTTACATTGGTTGTAAGTGCCGTTTGAAATGTGCATATTATTTTCTCTGTCAGCGTAATAATATTTTACTTTTGAATACATTTTCAAAATTTTCATGAGCATTAGCAGGAATCTGGAGGCGTGCTGCTTAAAGGCCACAGTTACTGTTTAATATTATAGATCATGAAACGATGTACACTTTGAAAAAAAATTCTGCCTTATCCTCCATCATGTTATAGAAAAGGGGGGAAATGTAATTTTTTTCTTTTTTTAATAATTTTTTTTTTCTTTTTAAAGGGGGGTGAAAACCCTTTAGGGGGTTTTTTCCCGGGCCCATTTTATCATATATATGGCGCAGAAATGTTTGGACTTATCGAAGGTAATCAATCACAAATATCATCGTCGTCATCAGCGCTATCATCGTCATCATCATCACTTTATATCGCCATTATGTATTCTTTATTTTTCTTGACCGATTTATCTATATATTGTCAGCTGTATTTATTATTCCATCTTAAACAACTCATATAGTGCCAGCTGTATTTATTATCCCATCTTGAGCAACTTATATAGTGTCAGCTGTATTTATTATTCCATCTTGAGCAACTCATATAGTGCTAGCTGTATTTATTATCCCATCTTGAGCAACTTATATAGTGCCAGCTGTATTTATTATTCCATCTTGAGCAACTTATATAGTGTCAGCTGTATTTATTATCCAATCTTGACCAACTTATATAGTGTCAGCTGTATTTATTATTCCATCTTGAGCAACTTATATAGTGTCAGCTGTATTTATTATCCCATCTTGAGCAACTTATATAGTGTCAGCTGTATTTATTATTCCATCTTGAGCAACTCATATAGTGTCAGCTGTATTTATTTTTCCATCTTGAGCAACTTAAATGGTGTCAGCTGTATTTATTATTCCATTCTTGAGCAACTCATATAGTGTCAGCTGTATTTATTATTCCATCTTGAGCAACTTATATAGTGTCAGCTGTATTTATTATTCCATCTTGAGCAACTCATATAGTGCCAGCTGTATTTATTATTCCATCTTGAGCAACGTATATAGTGCCAGCTGTATTTATTATTCCATCTTGAGCAACTTATATAGTGTCAGCTGTATTAATTATCCAATCTTGACCAACTTATATAGTGCCAGCTGTATTATTATTCCATCTTGAGCAACTTATATAGTGTCAGCTGTATTTATTATTCCATCTTGAGCAACTTATATAGTGTCAGCTGTATTTATTATTCCATCTTGAGTAACTTATATAGTGTCAGCTGTATTTATTATTCCATCTTGAGCAACTTATATAGTGCCAGCTGTATTTATTATCCCATCTTGAGCAACTTATATAGTGTCAGCTTATTTATTATTCCATCTTGAGCAACTTATATAGTGTCAGCTGTATTTATTATTCCATCTTGACCAACTTATATAGTGCCAGCTGTATTTATTATTCCATCTTTAGCAACTTATATAGTGTCAGCTGTATTTATTATTCCATCTTGACCAACTTATATAGTGCCAGCTGTATTTATTATTCCATCCTGAGCAACTTATATAGTGCCAGCTGTATTTATTATTCGATCTTGAGCAACTTATATCGTGTCAGCTGTATTTATTATTCCATCTTGAGCAACTTATAAAGTGCCAGCTGTATTTATTATCCCATCTTAATCAACTTATATAGTGTCAGCTTATTTATTATTCTATCTTGAGCAACTTATATAGTGTCAGCTGTATTTATTATTCCATCTTGACCAACTTATATAGTGCCAGCTGTATTTATTATTCCATCTTGAGCAACTTATAAAGTGCCAGCTGTATTTATTATCCCATCTTGAGCAACTTATATAGTGTCAGCTTATTTATTATTCCATCTTGAGCAACTTATATAGTGTCAGCTGTATTTATTATTCCATCTTGACCAACTTATATATTGCCAGCTGTATTTATTATTCCATCTTGAGCAACTTATAAAGTGCCAGCTGTATTTATTATCCCATATTGAGCAACTTATATAGTGTCAGCTTATTTATTATTCCATCTTGAGTAACTTATATAGTGTCAGCTCTATTTATTATTCCATCTTGACCAACTTATATAGTGCCAGCTGTATTTATTATTCCATCTTGAGCAACTCATATAGTGTCAGCTGTATTTATTATTCCATCTTGACCAACTTATATAGTGTCAGCTGTATTTATTATTCCATCTTGACCAACTTATATAGTGCCAGCTGTATTTATTATTCCATCTTGAGCAACTCATAAAGTGTCAGCTGTATTTATTATTCCATCTTGACCAACTTATATAGTGTCAGCTGTATTTATTATTCCATCTTGACCAACTTATATAGTGCCAGCTGTATTTATTATTCCATCTTGAGCAACTCATATAGTGTCAGCTGTATTTATTATATTATTATTCCATCTTGACCAACTTATATATTGTCAGCTGTATTATTATTCCATCTTGACCAACTTATATAGTGCAGCTGTATTTATTATTCCATCTTGAGCAACTCATAAAGTGTCAGCTGTATTTATTATTCCATCTTGAGCAACTCATATAGTGTCAGCTGTATTTATTATTCCATCTTGACCAACTTATATAGTGTCAGCTGTATTTATTATCCCATCTTGAGCAACTTATATAGTGTCAGCTGTATTTATTATTCCACCTTGAGCAACTTATATAGTGTCAGCTGTATTTATTATTCCACCTTGAGCAACTCATAAAGTGTCAGCTGTATTTATTATTCCATCTTGAGCAACTCATATAGTGTCAGCTGTATTTATTATTCCATCTTGACCAACTTATATAGTGTCAGCTGTATTTATTATCCCATCTTGACCAACTTATATAGTGCCAGCTGTATTTATTATCCCATCTTGACCAACTTATATAGTGCCAGCTGTATTTATTATCCCATCTTAAGCAACTTATATAGTGTCAGCTGTATTTATTATTCCATCTTGAGCATCTCATATAGTGCCAGCTGTATTTATTATCCAATCTTGAACAACTCATATAGTTCCAGCTGTATTTATTATCCAATCTTGAGCAACTCATATAGTGCCAGCTGTATTTATTATTCCATCTTGACCAACTCATATAGTGCCAGCGGTATTTATTATCCCATTTTGAGCAACTTATATAGTGTCAGCATATTTATTATTCCATCTTGAGCAACTTATATAGTGCCAGCTGTATTTATTATCCCATCCCATCCCAATAATTGTATATATTTATTATTTTATCTTGATTGATTTATAATTAGTCCGATGTATTAAGTATCTCATCTCGTTCGATTTGTATTTTGCCAGATGTATTTATAACTTCGACTTGTATATTACCAAATGTTTTTATTATTTCATCTTGGTCGATTTATATATTGCCCGATGTATTTAATATTTCATCTTGATCGATTTATTTATGTCTATTCAATTCATCATTTCATTCTGATTCATTTGTATATGGCAATGTGAATTAATTTGTTTAAATTGATTGAGTATTTGTTTTTCCTTATCATTCTCATCTTAATAACGATTTATTTTGGGTTATAAATATAAATATATAGACCAATTCATTATGATGTTTTTAATTAATTTTATTTAACCATTGTTGTCTTTATAGCAATATTTTTTGTCTTTTACATATTCATATATATATAAAGCCGACAGTAATCGGAGAATATAACAACATAATTTTCGTTTATCCATTTGTCATCTTGAATTAGCTTTGTTTCGTTTAACTTTTAGGCTATAGTTGTAACAGGGATTGTGGTGACCATGGAAAGTGTTATAACTATTTTGGTGAACATTGTAGATGTAACGGCGGATATACTGGTGACAGATGTCAATATGGTACATTATTACCCCTCACTTTTTTGTATTGTTAATTTCCCATAGGCTTCTCTGAGTAATTCTTACTTTTAATGCAAGTGTACCGCGTGACTAGGAAATCTGTACTGTTACATAGGTAACAGTACTTTTTATCAGTATAAAATATGGTCACGTGGTCTATTTTCTAAATAAAATGAAATAAAATGGCCACCATTGAATTTCTTCCATAACAATTTAAATATTTCAATATTCCTATGGGGTAAAGTGTATACTGATCCAAGTGAGTGACCCATATATATGATATTTAGGGAAGAAATCAGTATTTAAACGGAACGTGAAACCACGTGTTTGAACAATCAAACATGTGGTTTAGTTGTTCAAACACGTGCTAAATACGGATGATTTGATGAACCAGCTATTCAAACGTTTTCACTTCACGAAAGAAGAAATATTTATTGTTCTTTTTTTTTTTGAAATATTGCTCACTACATGTTAAGAGTGTAAATCCAATACTACGTTAATTGAACGAGCACAAGAGAAAAAATCAAGCATATGTTGTTGCACATCTGAGCTCGACATTAAAACTGAGATAAAAGCAGAATGTCAAGCGGAATGTTTTGCTCAATGTCGAGCCAGCTTGCAATCATAGCTCGACATTAAAACAGAGATAAAAACAGAATGTCAAGCGGAATGTTTTGCTCAATGTCGAGCCAGCTTGCAATCATAGCTCGACATTAAAACAGAGATAAAAACAGAATGTCAAGCGGAATGTTTTGCTCAATGTCGAGCCAGCTTGCAATCCTAGCTCGACATTTAAACAGAGATAATCATAATGTCAAGCGGAATGTTTTGCTTAATGTCGAGCCAGCTTGCAATCCTAGCTCGACACAAAAACAGGAATTAAACATAATGTCAAGTGATTTGTTTTGCTCAATGAGCCAGCTGACAAACCCAGCTCGACATTCAAACAGAGATAAAAACGGAATGTCAATCTGAATGATTTGCTCATTGTCGAGCCAGCTTCTCATAAAGGCTAGACATTCAAAATGAGACAAAATCTAATGTCGAGCTTAATGTTGAGCTAAATGTCGAGCCAGCGTCACATTCAAGATAAACGATATTTTAAAGGACACTTTATATTATATAACATATAAAATATTTGAAAGGGCATAAAGATAAAATAAGAAAGTTATTTCATAAAGAATATATGATTGAATGAGTGATTGATTTTCTTTCGACCGGGCGGTCAAGGATAACCTACGAAAGTGCAAGTACTTATCTTCAGTAGACTTACCTCAGTAGACTTCTGTGATAGGCATGAGATACAAGGGAATCCGGGAACTAGCTCTTTAAGAATTGACCCTTTTCTTTCACTTCACATGCCCAGTGTATAGCGCTGATACATGCTAGGATTACCTGGGTTTCTTACCAGTATACCTCTAGAAATGTGGGAAATACTGGACGTGTTTTTAAAAATCCCAAGGGTTCTACCAAAGGATCGAACCTGGAATTTCGGGAGTGACAGTCAGTGGTCTAACCAACTGTACCATCGCGCCACCTATATGGACCATGAATTATACATGTATTTTTAACAGCATATATAGATTAATAACGGTATTTTTTCAGTTGACCACTGCTACAACAAATGTCAACACCGTGGACGATGTCAGCGTACAGACACGAGCCCTTATTTCAAATGCACGTGCAACTATGGATATCTCGGCGAACGTTGTGAACGTATGCAACATTTTAACTACTTTCATTTCTTTGCTAATTTAATATTTCTAAAACTTATTCAACTCTGAATATATTAGCCTTACCAGATTAAATGTCAATCTCATTAAAATCAGATCATCGTTTTCGCTCCGTTCCTTAGCGAGGAACGAGTTAGGATATGATTTTATTATTAAATATATAAAATTATTAAATACATAACTATTGTTTTAGCAGCGGATAATTACCAAATTAGCACTATGGCGTTGGTTGTCCTTTTCTAGAAAAGCATTATAATATCCAACCGCGTAATCTTCAATCTTGTCTTCTTGCAAGAAGTTGTTTTATTGAGCAAGAAACTTCAGATCCATTGCACTGCACTGCTTGCTTTGGGTAGCGGATCTGAGTATGTATTTATAAGTTTGCTACATAATCAAGTTAAGGTAGTCTTACTATAATGCATTTCCGCCAAAAACAATTCATCATCAGCCAATATCATAATAAATCGGTCATTTCCATGACGTTATTCTTTCACCATAATTGTTTACCGTTTATAAACGGAATTAAGTACATGTACATAGCAATAACGGATGAGTGATTGTAAATAATTTAATGCCCGATATTTCGAAAAGAATTACGTTCCGGAAATAACCGATTTGCTACGATATTGGCCGATATTTTTTTTGGCGTGAAACTACGCAGTAAGACTACCTTAAAATAAATTCTGTATAAATGTTTTGGTTCTACAAATATAAGAATATGTCTCTTTTCTATTCGATAATCATGAGTATTTGGTGATATTTTTCCAGAGGATCATTGTGTGTCATCACCGTGTAAAAATGGCGGAACATGTCACCGCGACTATAAAGGCATTTTCTACAGATGCTCTTGTTTAAACGGATATATTGGAGTAAATTGTGATGGTAATTGTTAGTCCAGCGTCTTTGTTTTAGTTAAGTAATGATTAAATAAATGAAATTATACTAAATAGTAAATAATATGCCCACAAAGAAAAAAATGTCGACATAGCTTCACCCACACTATATGAAGTCTTGCCAATCTTCATTCCTTATTGTTTCATGTTATGGCTTTCCTCCTACATTAAAATGACCAAGTTTGAAGCCAGCTTGGATCTATATAGCGCTATGTGAGGAGTAATTACGCCTCAGTCACAAATGACAAACGGCCGCCGGGCGGCGTCTATTTTTCAAAAAATTCGTAATATCGGCCGATGTCTGTCCGGCCACCGCGACAATCGGACGGCAGCAGCTGAACAGTTTGCCCATCGGGCGGGCGCCGACGAGTTTTATGTACTACTTTAAAGCTAACGGCGTCCGGACGATTATTTCTGGGGTCCGTAAGTGGAAAAACAAACATCTGGCGGGGATAGCCCGGCCGCACGGCGGCGCCCGGGGAATGTTTTTTTTGATCGGACGATTGTTTTTGCGATCTTAGTGGCACCTGGACAGACATCGCCCGGGACACGCCCGGCGCCCGAATAGACGCCAATAGGCGAAAGAGTATCGCCCGGTACCCGGACTAATCATGCACAAGCTAGGGACGGTCATCGTTTTGTTGTAATTGCAGCTTAAGTTTTTTTGTAGTTGCCGTGAATTCCTTTGGTTGTAACATGAACTTTATGGTCGCGTAAGAATGTCTACGCTGATTATTATTATTAAGGAGAAAGCAAATTACAATTGTTGTATTAAATGCTTGCCATTCATCTTGTTTCATCAACTGCCTTCTTTACTGGCATATTGACCACAGACTGATTTTTAAAAGAATATGATAACATGCAAACTTAAGCCTTTACCGCCCGGCGCCCACGCGGCGACCGTGCGATCCATATATATATATACAGACACCGTCCGGACATGGGGCGGCGATCGCCCGGTCTTTGAATGCTTTCTGTAACATCAATCCTGCAAAAAAACACTTAAGCACCACGAAAGTTTCATTAACGAATTTATACAGTTTCAACAGTGTATACATATGTTTTAAAAGTATCGTATGACGAAATGTTTTCTAACTGTAAATCAACTGAACATATAAAGAAATGGTATTCGTCTCTACATGAATTTATTCACATACTAAACACAAATGTTTTACAAATCAGATTTATAAGACACTAAGACCAGAGTCAAGACTATCATGCATTGATTATCAACAATATAAAAATGTTTCTTTTGTTTTTGTTTTTTGTTTTTGGCTCAAAAATGATGAATCCACTTATTTTCAGTTTCAGCTTGTACTTCGACACCGTGTCAAAATGGCGGTAAATGTTCAGTGAGTTATAATTCCCCATACTACCAATGCTCCTGCTCAAATGGATTCACAGGGAATCAGTGTGAAAGTAAGCCTTAAGTTTTTTGTCATTTGTTCTCATTCAAGAAAACAGGCATGATATCAATTTGCATGCATTGTTGTAGAATTATGCACGGTCGAGTTTAGACACTCAGTAATAAAATATCAAAGGTCGATTAGTCAGAGTAATTTATAACAAAGCATTTGTAAGATAAAACAAATAATGCAAGGGAAATTACGTTTCAGGGAAGTGGGGATAGATGTAGGGCAGGGATAATATAAGCTGCGTCACGACAAACCCAACATAGTGGGTTTGAGACCAGCATGGATCCAGACCATGGTGCGCATCCGCGCAGTCTGATCAGGATCCATGCTGTTCGCTTACAAACCTTATAACAAGTAGAGAAACTGATAGCGAACAGCATGGATCCAGATCAGACTGCGCTGATTCGCAGGCTGGTCTAATTCCATGCTGATCGCAAACCAAATATGTTGGTTTTGTCGTGAAGCGGCTCATATATTGTTTTCTTTTATGCTTAGCGCCCGAATGTTTAATGTACTTTATCATATAAGTACAATATATGTCATTAGTTTTCATATTATAGATAACCCACCTACCACAGCACTTCCGGTGACGTCCGTGTCCGTTACTATGGACGTAAAGACAACTCAGACAACCACCCAAACTACATCTTCTACAGAACTTCTTACAACATCACCAAATAGTAAGTTTTAAAAAAAGAATGGAAGAAGTCGGATGTAGAACCGCATCCGTTTATCTATATGCGAATTTAACTCCCATAGTGTGCAGTATTAAGACGGTAATATACGGAAGCATGTATTATCTCTGAGTTCTGGTGCCCCATACAGGCCTCCGTAGTAATGGCGCATTACGTTTGATATGTAAATTTTTTAATTCTGAGCAGTCTGTTCTATAGGTAGACTGAACTGTTACTTATTCTTTGAATATTTTGTCTGGTTTCAAGTCAGGCCGAGACTCAATGTAATATCGTGACATAACAGCGTTATTTAAGCACGAGCGGCGGGTTCGAACATTCAACGTTGAGGAGCATGTGGTTCGAAGTCAATGACCATAACCACTCGGTCAGAGACGCCTATTTTACAGATTTCTTTCTGTGTATTGATTAGATATAGCCGAAAATATATCTCGAAAGGCAAAACTATCGTAGTTGACCATAACACTGCGTAATAGCCTTTCCTTTGGAGCATAATAAGAGACAATTTACACAGTATTATAAGCTGATATTTTAAAAGTAGGGGAGACTCAAAATTTTTTTAGCCGATGAAAAGTACCTATCATTCGGAAGCAGTCAAATGTTCCAAACAAGTTAAAGCCAACACACTGCAATTTAGATGAATATTCAGTCATAACTTGCCAAAAAAATTCCGTTTGCATTGGATTGGAAGTGCGGTGACAGACGGACATTGGGCCGGGACTATAATTGAACCTTGCAGGAGAAGTATAAATCAAAGTTCCTGAAAAGTCAATCAAACTGCATTTGTTTATCTTTCAGTCACGCTATCGTGTTCAAAATTTTCGTCTGTGTTTGATCTGGCGGAGAAAGCCATGGAGACAAATGTATTAGCCGTGGCATGTCCTTCCGGTAACCATACCTCGCCTGAAGCCTATGTTCTCAATAATTGTGGCGTCCAGTATTCGACATACGCATGGAAACAGGGCTACAATGTAAGTTTTATTGATCCTAAAAAATAGTGTATGTGTCTGTTTTTGATGCATACGGAATTTAACGTTGTAGTAGCTTTCTGCTGCAAACTGATATATCGTGGGACCAAATATAGGGCAGTATGTTGCAAGTAGCTAAATACGTGGCCTCGGAAAGTTTCTGTAACATAATAATCCTTTATTTTATATATTATTCACGTTTCAAGGCAAAAATGATCCAATTTAATTACACCCAAAACTGTTATACAAATTCACGTATATAGAGATGCTTTCCGAATAACAATTTTTACCGCCCTGGTTTCCCCTTTTAAAGGGTCATTCCAAATACTCATTGTTTTAAAAATAAAAAAAAATCTTTTCTACCATCTTTAAGAATGAAAAAACCTTTAAATATTTGCTTTTAAAATTTTAAGGATTTTTAAATTTCATCTAAATAAAAATTTAAAATTTGAATTTTTTTTTTATTTTTTAATTAAAACAGTCGACTTCGTTTTCTCGAAGTCAAATTGGGGCCCTCCAAAAAAAATCGAAGAAAAAGAAATGTGAGAAAACTTTAAAAGTTTAGAACAAGGCAAATATTTTTTCAAAAAACAGTCATACCTTATGTCAAAAAAATATAATATCCCCCTGTTTTTTTTTATGGGCCAGTCATATTTAACAAAAAAACATAAACATGTTTTCCGTGGAAATACGGGTGTCTTTTGGGTAAAAAAAACATAGTAGGGTTTTTTTCGTAATACACCAATATAGTGAATCGGATATCGGATATGGTTGATCCGGATATCCTCCCGGGTTATTTATCGGGTCTTTCTCGAGATTGATCCACCGCTGATTGATTTGGTGGGTGATGTGAAACAATATTGCAACGATAGCGTTTCTATACTTTCACTTTTTCATTTACATTTAAAGTCATAATGAATTGATACAGTGTTCGAATATTTAAAAAGAATGTAAAATTTACTCATTGTGGACATTATAAAGTCAATCAACACGCTAAATAGATTAACTTTTATAAAAACAGCTAAACTTGTTACAAACATAATCGTCATTATGACACACGCTATTAATTGAGCAATTATCGTCTAGATTGTGTTTTTCACACGTCTGAAGGGAACAGACGAAGTCGAGATAAACAAAGGATAATAGTGTGAAAATAAACTGTTGGGGCTGAAATTTTACATCGAGATACTGAAAATATCGAAATAGAAATATCGAGATAAACAAATATTTTCCCAAAAAATAAAAAGGAGAAAAACGGGACTTTCAAAATTTCATCGAGATAACGAAATATCGAGAAAAGCGATGTCGAGATAACGATAGTTGACTGTATATAAAATATTAGCCCTCAAAATGGCTGCCACTTTGAGCAAGGGATGTTAAGACTATAATAATCAAAACATTCACGATCACGTGATTAAAGAATAGGTTTTCACGGTTGTTTTAGGCATAATTCTCTTATTTCAGTTGTAATGGTTATTAACATACATATAGTGTCACAATCAAATTTCTTAAAGGCCCATAATGCTTATTCTTATTATTCTCAAGCGTTTCTTATTCTTGTTGTCCCACAGTTATAAAGATTAGGTATATTGCACGGAAGTCAAAATACTTCTTTTTTACATTTTGCTTCTTTTAATGACAAAGAATTTCATATCACGCGCTACCATTGTCATGTGATATGCTCTGAAACCTTTGTATGAACGTTAGTCTTTTCTTAAATAATTTTTCGTTTCATAATGCCCCTTTAAATGATACCAGTACTAATTTATTCCATGAATAAGAGAATGGATGGTTCTAAAAGTCAACAAATCTTCGGTACAATCCATCGTAGGCAGATTTCTTTTGGGAACCAAACAATTTAAGACAAAGCACTGGAATCTTTAGCGATAATGTAGAAAAAAAACTTGAAAGCCTGTTATTTTGGCACACTTTGAACAGTTTCAAATTAAGAAGAATTTTTATTTCTAGGTGAGAACATTGTGTAAGCAGATCCCGCCTTACACCCCAGTAGCCACATTTGAACAAGGCGCCTACGTGCCCTCATCCAGCACTTCCGGTATATTTATCGGATGTTTGGTCGGATCTACTGGTTTTACGGTATGGTATAGTATATTTGTGAATTTATTTTCTTTATCAAGTTTTACAGTTTATAACAGTCATATACATGATGTATAGAGCTAAATGTACCGACAAAATAATTTGTTCCAGATGACGGTCACATACGATGGACCATCTACAATTAAACACCTCCGTGAATTTGACCAATTAAGTATTAAAGTAGCTCCGACAAAAGTCAAACTGGTCAACAACTATAATTATTAGATACATATTTTCATTTTTTTTTCGTATTTGTTAAAAAAACACCTATATAATGAACATAAATCATCTGTTAAATTATGGTCTTTGGTAAGGTGAGGTAAATTCTTGAAAATCATGTTAATGTAAGAACTACTTTTTTGGTGATTTTAGATTGCTATACAGAGATGTGATCAGGTCCCACAGATCGACCATATTGATTTTATCAACGGAACTACAGCAGGACAACATGGCGACTTCTACACAATCGAACTCTGATATTTATTTATATACTAATATATCAATGTATTATGCTGTAAATTAATATATGTTATTTATTATTTTTTATGTTACCGTTATAAGGTTCACTAAAATATCCGTCAGTTAAAAAGACATGTTAATTTCCGTTAAAACATATTGAGAGTTTATTCCACCGTAAAGTCAGTTTGTGAGTTTTTCAATTTTTGGAGTACATTTCTAGAGCCATGTACCAAATACGCTTATCTTCTGTTATACAAAAGACAAGGTATATACAAAAGTATCCAATTTCTAGCTAACAATTGAAAATATCTTATACATCTGTAATATTTGTAAATAAACAATTTTTTATGTATGTTTTGTGTCATATTTTGTCTGACCTGTTCGATTTTCCCTCAAATCTTAAAGTACTTATCTACCGTGTGGCTATCTATGCATAAATTCTCTGTGCAGAAACAGAATCTCTAAAGTATTAACTTTAAAGGGACTCCACTGAGCACCGAGCCTCTTTGACATGGCAAGACTGGAAATAATTTTTCGAGATAAATATCATATTTGACGTAAGTTTTGACCATTAAAATGTGTGCAAACTTTCAGATCATCCGCTCACTACATTTTCCAGGATTGTTCTTAGGTGAAAAATGAACAAACATTGAAAAGCGTTGCAACGCTTTTCACTTAATCAAGGAAATATACTACACAAAAAAAATCAATTTTCAATTTTTAGATATAATTTGAAATAAAAATTTTGAATGTATTTTAATAATCTTGCATAATTGTCTGTTTTAAGTGCCCCAGCAGATTTATGTTATAAATTCAAATTTTAGTTTTTAGTCATTTGGACCTCGGTGGAGTTCCTTTAAAACCGCGAATATCAATGTGTATCTATTATTGTGACACAAGCTCCTTTAACTTCCGGTCCCTGTATTGTATCATGTATTGCATGCTGAAACAATGGCATTGGTATCATTTTGCGAGCACGGGAAATATATTTGTTTCTACTCAGTGAAGTTTCTAAAAATATCAAAGATGCATTAAATAGATGACTGTATGACTATAGTTAATTCATTTTTAAATAATTAATATATATTAAAGCGACAAAGAACTTGTCATCTATAAGTTGAGTATTAAACCATGCTTAAAAGTACATTAAGTATAAAACGGTCTTGTTATTTTAATCTTACAAGAAGAAAAAATATACATATATCTCGATTTTAGGGTTGTAACATAATCACAAATTGAAAAAAAAATTCCCATGATCGCTTATGTTAAGAACTTAACCGATTACTTCATGAGCATTTGGTGAAAAATGGCTGTTTTCATTGAAAAGTCTTTCTTTACAAGTTAAAATTGCTATAAAGCTATACAAACTGCTTCAATACTAATCAAACTTGGCACAAATGTTGACTGTACAATGACCTTTGTAACAACATGCCCGGGCTTAAATTTCCTGTTACCATGGCAACGAGGGGACATCTCAAAATTACCAAAAATCACTATTTTGCGTTGATTTTTCCCATCAAAATTGATTTCAAAGTGCTGCAACTTCTCAATGGATTGAGATAGAGTCAAATGCTTTCAGCGTTGGTTACACGTTACCTTATGATCAATCTGGGGTCATTAATAGCCTCTAACAAGTCCAAAATTTTCTTGGCGATGAGGGGGACTGCCGCAACTTTTAAACCCCCCAACCAGAAGGGGGCACATCCCCCTTCTGGCAACTCCCTGATGTATCTTTTGGTTGGGGGCCGCACCGAAAAAGTGGCTACATTTCTCAAACAAAAACAAGTGTTGGGGGACTAAATAAGGCATTTTTTTCACCATTTGAGACAACAAAAAATGCGGTGAAAAAGGCGTTAAAAGGTGTGTAAATCGGGTAATGGGTTAAGAAAATGATGTTTTGAATATGGAATATATCTTACTCAGAACAGACATTTCTTAATAACACAGTATTAGCGCAAAGTGCAGGAAGAAAGCATAAAAAGTACAGCAGTAGATATGGGCTTGAATATTAATTAATCTAATGCAATCCGTTGTATTATACGGTCCGCACTGGCTTCAAGAAATGAAAGGAATGTTAAGGAATATTAATTGTGCTTTAGTAACCTATTCATATGACATATATTACAATATATTTAATGACTTATATATGTATCACAGTAACTCTATAAAATTTCAAAAGTAGTGGTTTAAAAGTTGGAACGATACTATAGTTATAACTACATTATCCTTTATGTACAGACTCATTCAAACCGAGTCTGCAATTTACATATTATCTTGTTGTGATTCTGAAGACTGCCGAACTCTTTTTGTAAAGTTTATATGTCTATTGGCAAATTATACAACAACATTTTTTCATTATTTTTGTCCAGTGCTGCAGATGTGCGCATGGTGCTTCAGGTATGTGTCGTATTCTGACTACGTTTGTAAAATAGTTGAATGTGTTCTCTTACGTTATAGCATAAATTCAAAACGTATAGGCTGATAGGAAAGAAGTTGACAATACATAATAATACTTCTCCGCCATTTATCATATTTTATCAAAAATCAAAGACGTTCTTTTAACTGCAGCCTGTTAATGTTTTATTTAGACAAATGGCTTCATCTTTAAAAAATCACATTTACTTACCTTTTTGTGCCAATTATTTTAATGGAATGTACCAATTCATTACTTTTTTAAATGCTATTTTCAAAATATTTTTAATATTCTCTGAACATTAACTCGGTTTGAGGAACTTTGTGTTGATACCGAGCGACAGTAAGGTTACCGTTAATGAACACAATATTAGTTTTGTGATGCTCGAACAAACCTGCGCAAACTATTACTGGCCCATTCCTATATCCATCTCGTCCGATGAACAGATGTCGTTTAATCGTTTTCCCCATTGTCGGTATACCCTTGAACGACCGCCATTTTGTTATTAGCAAAATTTCTTTTAATCTCTAAGCAAACACTGTCCCCATTTTGCTTGCATATCACGCAGAGCCCAAAGACATATCGCTGTGCCCGACGAATCTGTGTCAATATAACACCGTTAAAGAGACGTCTACATCGCATATTTGCGATCGATCGAACGGCTTTCCTTAAGATCAGTGCAGAGATGCATCGTCCATTTATCCAGAGTGTTAATCTGGTCGTAATGACAGCTTTACGTCTTTTCTGCTGGCGAATTCATTGTTTGAATGTAATTATTACGTGCGGCTGTTCTTCAACGTCCACGTGGTCGGCGAGGATGAGTATCAGCGCTATGTACTTCATATTTAAATTTCTAATGGTAATGCGATATACACCCTTGTGTTGTACAACCTAAAAACTATACAGACATGTAATTTTTGAATATAAAATATATATTTGGATGTTTATTTTCGACTGCAACTCAACCTAAATGACTTTCGACTTTTGCAATGCAAAGGCATGAAAATAACTATTTGAACAAAAAAAGTTTTGTTACCAACCTCTGTTTGATGTTTACTAGCGTGACTATTTATCGCATTTCCATAGATAATCTAACTATGTGATTTTTTCCCTGATATATGAGTCGCTCTCATATCCAAGAATAACATGTACAATTTTGGACGTAACGACATTTGAATAAGTTTTTCCCAGGTGCAATAACAGCTTGTTAATAACAAGCATTTCACTGACAAGCTTCAGGTCACAGGATAATGTAGCTTAAATAGGTGACACAAATATACCTGAATCATCAACATGTTTAAAAGTTTGTTATTGACAACGGCAGACAAATCATTCACATAAATTGAATTGAGAATACTTGAGGCCCAAGGATTGTTCAATATATGACTGATGCCTGACACAAAAAACATCAACTAAATGTGTTCTAATGTAAGGCTGGAAACATTTGATAACATTTGGACTATTGGTTATGGTCATTGACTTTCAACCATTAGTATTTTACGATTCTAGCTTTGAATCTCGCCAGGGTCTTTCGATTTGGTCATTTGGACACTTTCAGCTGATTTACGGAACGTTGGTGGTTCTACTTTTGTGCTTGAAATAAAGCACATATGGGTATCTCAGGTCTCCCTTCACAAGTAAAGCCAAAAATGTCACCATATTATCTCTAATATCTTGGTGCAACGCAAACTTCAACCAAAAATGATAAAAAATTACAAAAATGGAAATATTGCATTTATTAAATTGTTATTATTCATTTTTTCATAAAATGTAATAAATTAATAAAAAATAAATGAATAAATAAATAAGTAAACAAATAAATATATAAAACACCGCCATTTGGACTGATTAAATGATGAGTGTAATAGACAATAGTTATCAGCACCTACTCAGACCATTTTTACACATATATATATTGTGTCTTACATTTGAAGGAATTCATGACAACTTTTCATGAAAATTGTACTGATTATAAAGTCTGTATCATGCAATCATGTTTATCTCCCTTGTTATGAACTCACAAATGGTATATACATGTCATCTGCGTGTAAAAAGGAATAGTTTTTCAGAAGTCTCGGCCTTCGGCAAAGTCGTAGTTAGGACATCTTTAATGTGTAACATATATGTGGGTAGAACAAACGTACACACACACATACACACACGTTAAACACACAGGCCAAATATTTGACAGAAATGAAATCTATAACGAATGCAATCAATTCATAAGTTTAAGTAGTACAGTTTGAGATTGTAGTGGACTTATGACCTCGAAATCACACATATATTTATGCTTCCTTCGTGTAGAGATAGCTATCTTGATGTCTAAATTTGACGGTCTTATCTTTAACCTTTGCCATTTCTTTTTGGAAGTTAAGCTGAAGGTAAAACTTTTATAATATTTTCTTGTATATAACATGTTTTTTTAGTACAATTGTGTAGACCAAAGCAGTATAAATGCTACTTAGCTAGTGTATTGTTTTTTAAGAAAAATAAAGTGACATTTTACCGATGATTATGTTAATCAACATTATATAACGTATGTATTGCATTTCATTCCACCCCTTCAGGTTATTTTGATATTTTAAGGAACCTTGAAAGTTAAACCGTTTTGGCTAACACTCATTTACTCAGCGACCACTCGTTCACTCTATGATCACTTGTTTACTGGCATCATTTGAAGCCCATATGTTTTGTGAAACATGTTTGGCCACTTTTGTAACAAGTGTCATTTGTAACACATGTTTGGCCACTTTTGCAAAAAGTGTCATTTGTAACACAGGTTTGGCCACTTTTGTTACAGATCACATTTGTAACACAGGTTTGGCCTCTTTTGTGACAAGTCACATTTATTTTTCCACACAGGTTTGAACACTTTTTGTACATGGCACATGTTTGTTATACGCCCCAAAAGATTTGGTGTATAATGTGAAGCACCTGGTTGTCTTTGCGTCCGTCTGTTAGCAGTTTTCATGTCCGATCTGTATCTTTTTAACTGGTGGAAGGAAATCGATACAACTTGGTAGAAATGTTAACCATTGTGCAAGTTTGACTTTCTTAAAATCAAAGTCAAGGACACAGTCATTTTGTTTAAATTTCAAAATTTCGTGTCTGTGTTTTTTGAACACATATCAAGAAATGAAATACTTTTGGCAGAAATATTACTTATAATAAGACGGTATGCAGAACACACGTCCGGGCTCCCTGAGATCAAATGTTACCTTGCCTCGGGGTGAACTCGATTTATAGAGACTAATTTAGGAAAACACAGTTCATTATGTAAAACTTTATTGTCTAAAGCTTAGAAATTTAGCATATAGCATTGCCTTATTGGTCTTTTTAAAAACTGATGTGAATCATGATCCTTGCATCAATATTGGTTTCTCGCCCAAGGGCCCACTTGATTTATGTAGACCTATATAAGAAAAAAACACTTATATTAATCATGTTCCTTGGGTCAATGTTAGCCCAGCTCCTGGGGTCACTTAGTTAATATAGTATTGTATGAGAAAACACATTTCAGTCTTATTTTGTGAAACAACAAAGCCAAAAGCTAAAATATTTAACGTCTGAAAAAATCGACATTGATCATGCCCCTGGGGTTATAATTGGCCATCCTCAGGGTCACTTGATAATTCGCAAAATATTTGAATCTGTGTGAAACTGCAATGTCCAGAACTTAGAAATTTGGCAAGTAGCATCAATAAGTAGATTTCTCAAAAAGTTATAATAGTTATGACCTTCGGGTCAAAATTTGCACTTGCCCCGAGAGTCAATTGCTTTAACTAGAATAAAGTATAGGCAAACATTTTTTTATCATTTTGTGGATGAATAATATGCATCATTATTTTGCACATAACATTGTCTAGTAGACCTCTATAAAAGTTTTATAAGTCATGCACTTACGGTAACAAATGTCTTTAACTAGAAGGTCATATAAATGTTTTATCATAAGGTTTCCTAAAAAACACTTTAAGACAGTGTTTTAATTGGGTCTCGGTGAAAGATTTGTTTTAATTACTCATACAATTTTACATTCGTGCGTATATTGTCCCGCCATTGCGGTGTTTTTGTTTACAAATGTGATCACAAGTACTGAAATGGAACTTATTCACATAACTTACATGCGTTGCTACAAATTTGTACAATGTAGATAATTTATGTGATACACATTACTGCATACTCGGCGCCACTTTCTTCAGTCGTTAAACATCTAACATGCTCTAAATTCTTCGTTAAAAGATTATTAAACACATGTGTGACATTTCCAAATAATAAAACTCTTATTAATTTCCAAGGCACAATTTGCCTTTAACAAAGGCAATTTATAAAGTCCTTTTATCAAATGAAACGCGTTTAAATGGATATAATGTTCAGTTTGTGATTGCATTAGTAGAAATATACAAAATTTATGTATACAAAACTTTATTATCAAACTGTCTTACTGATATGAGCCACGTCACGACAAAACCAACATTATGAGCTTGCAATTGCATGGATCTAAACCAGCATGAGCATCCGCGCAATCTGATCAGGATCCATGCTGTTCACTATCAGTTTCTCTACTTGCTATAGGGTTTTCTAAAAGCGAACAGCATGGATCCTGATCACACTGCGCGGATGGTTTTGTCGTGGCGCGGCTCATACATTTTCATGTTAGAGTTTTACATTTCTTTTCAGGCGTGATGGCGGGTGTCATAAATATTGTTTTGTGTGTAGCGTCTTTAGTTTTAATCGCAGGTAAGTTTGATATATTTAGTTATCAATTTAATGTTTTAAAAGACGAAATGATTTCTGAAATGCCTACTTGTAACATGATTATCTTATTTAGATACAAATTACATGTTAAGGTGATGACATAGTACTAGTACTTATTGACCTCGCCATTATCAGAAATTGACATTCTTTTTCTTTATTGCCAGGACTTTTTGTTTTGATACAAAATGTTTTATTTATCTTTACAAAAACTTATATTTCTTGTTTAATTGATATGTTTCACGCGGGCTTTTGGGATTTGTACTGTTCTTTATCTATTTGCCATTGCCAGCAATCTGTTCAAATAATATCTTTTTGAACCACCACTTTCTTTGAAAGTTCCGTGCATGAACTCTATACTCAGTCGATTAAAGGTTAAGGGACGTCGATAAACAAAAAGTCTTGTCTAATTAAAATAACAGAAGAGGTTTAGAAAAACATAATTTGGTGGAACACTTCGATTATTCAAATTCCCTATAAAAAACTGATGTTTCAAAGTCCGTCAGTGTATTTGGTGCTTTTTTACCTCCGCACTCTTTTCCCCTCTTCTTTTCTAATTTTCTACGTAATGCCACACTCTCTTGCGTGATGCCATATTCTATTGCGAAATTGTATCTTCACCTCGTCTACAGCTCCCCAGCTCACTAAACATTTTGGTAATTTCAGCGTTGCAATATATAGCAAGAATCTTTCTCTAAAGCACATTTCTCGAATGATATAACACTAATGATCTTTTTGTCAAACATATTAAAATATTTGTTAAGCAATGATTTTCTACAACTGGCGGCAACTGCTTACACTGAACTGACATTTCCATCTAGATGATGAAATTTGTTCCACATGAAATCAACAAATTATATTTCTTTTATCTTGTCTAATCTACTTATTAAAATTTTTCTATTCTCGAACTTTCTGACAAAACATGAATATAATGAGGTAGCGTAAATATCAAGAAACGTCGCTTTGTAAACTACCCAGAATAGAATAATGAGTTTAAAGACAAGTCACCAATGAGAATCAAGCTTACAAAAAGGAATTGTAAAAAAAAAAGATACCGGAAAGGTATCGTCATTACTCAAATATTTTAAACCTATTATAATTGTCCAATTTATTTGAGCGTTTGGAACACTTTGTGAATCATGGTGGTGGTCTTTAATCCCGTTTCAGTCAAATTCAAATTTGATATTCATTTTAAATCTCAGAATCACTTTCAAAACATCGGTCACATTTGCATTGGCAAAAATAGAACGTACTTTCTAATAAACAACCGGAAAACTATACCCCACCCCCTGCGGATACAGAAAGCAATTTGTTTACTATACTTAATTTACTTTTCATATACCAATAATTCATTTGTATGTTTATATACACAGCGGTCCAAACCGAGGCTGTGACATACAAGTGGGATCAGTGGACAAGCTGGACACATTGTAACGCCACATGTTCTGGAACAACGTACCGTATCCGAGCATGTATACGTCATATAACAAATGTATCTGATCATTCAACTGATATTTCACATTGCGGTAGAGGTGGATCAGGTCCTTTTGATTACGACAGAAAAAGCTGCGGACCAGTCTGCGATCGTAAGAAACATATGTTTTTAACATTGCTCTTATTTTGTTATAATGTTAAAGATTAGGTTGGTTTGTTTACATTTTTACATTTGTTTATGGTCTCGACTAATGGATTTTGTTCATTATTCTTTAAATCTTTCAATATCTCAATAATTAACATACACCATGTAACAGACAACATGGACAAAGCTGGCATACATTATTCTAATGATTCTCTTGTACATTTCCGGACATACTTGCAAAAATTGTGACACATACGTTGAAAAATGTATAGCAGCATGTAAGAAAAAAACCCAGCTGCAATGGATATTTATAAACCATTGTAATCGGCAAGTCATAACTTTGTTCATGGTATTTGATTATTTTTCAAATATTGAAAAATTAAAAAAAAAATAAGTGAATACTAGTAAACAGTCGTTTAATGACAACAGCGGCCTGATTAGGATCCATGCTGTTCGCTGTCAGTTTCCCTACTTGTTTTAAATAGCGTATGTAACAGCATGGATCCTAATCAGACTGCGTGAATACGCAGGCTGGTCTGGATCCATGCTGGTGACAAACGCAATATTTATTTTGTATACAGTAAGTCATTGGAGTCAATGGTCGACTTGGTCACAATGCAGTGCAAGCTGTGACGATGGAGTAAGGTATCGTGCACGCCACTGTGATCAGGGTGACACGTGCAAAGGGGACGTTTTTCAGCAAGAAAAGTGTAACATCAAGAGATGTCTTCATCGAGTTGGTACGTAAACAGCGTAATGATATAAAGAAATATCTTATTTAAATATGAGCCGTGTCACGACAAAACCAACATAATGGGTTTGCGACCAGCATGGATCCAGACCACCCGGTGCATCCGCACAGTCTGATCAGGATCCATGCTGATTGCTATCAGTTTCACTACTTTTAATAGGGTTGGTAAGCGAACAGCATGGATCCTGATCAGACTGCTCAGATGCGCAGGCTGGTATGGATCCATGCTGGTCGCAGACCAATTATGTTGATTTTGTCATGACACGGCTCATATCATAAAATAACTAGCAACTTATTATCTGTTCTACGTTTTGTTTATCATGATATATTAAAGGCCCACTTTGCCTTAAAATGGTTTTGTTTTATTTCTCTTTTATGCCATATCATAGTTTTCAAAACATTACTCACTGGCTAATTACCTAAACTTTATTTTGCTTCTGTTGCTTTTCAGCAATAAGTACAGTTTTAGTGATTTAGTATTTTGTATAGAAGTCAAATGGCTGCTTTGTTTTCATTCGTTACTTTAATGACAAATTATTTCACTTTCAGCGCTAATTGTTGCATATGATAAGCAACACGCATATGCTTAAACCATTATTTAAATCAAAAAAACTAATTTTGCTATTTTTTATAAGACTGAATGTCGTTTCTGGGGCTAAATGGACCTTTAAGTATGTACTATAATTTGGTTTCATTAAAGGCACATTATGCCTCAGAAATATATACTTACATTTTTTTTTTTAAAAATGGAAAAACTATGTTAATATTGTTTTGATAATGGATTTAGAGCACAGTACATGTTTACCAGGTGAAGAAAGTGTCTCTGAATTTCCAGGAATGTGTCGTAAAGTTAGCAAAATATAGATAAGGTAGTATTTTGACTCCCATACAAAACACTTATTTTCTATAATTATATTAATTGCCAAAAAGCAAAAGAAGCAAAAATAGTCTATATGGCAAATGTGTTTTTGACACTTATAAAAAGGTTTTGAGAAACAAATGACATTAAGTTGATCACGACTTGGTAAGCGTTGTGGCTTATAGTAAGCTAAGGTAAGACACTCTTTTGTCACGAAGTTTAAGGTTTAAAATAGGTTTTTACAAACAATGTGTTGAGACTTGTTCTGGGATTATTTTCAGATGGACTTTGGGGTGATTGGGCCAGTTGGGGTAAATGTAGTACGTCATGCGGTCTCGGGTACAATGTCCGCTATAGGACATGTGACAACCCAGCCCCGGCAGACGGCGGTGCAGACTGTGTAGGCAAACATGACCAGGTTCGTGTGTGCCCAACGGTCCATTGTCCAATTGGTAACTTAATTTTAATTAATAACTTAATTAATATTAGTAACTTACTTGTTTTAACTACACTAGATATGTGAAACAGAACTTTACCTTGTCATAGATTAATTAATTGTTTAATAATAAGTAGTGTTTTTTATTATTAAAATGTGTGTTTGATAATATTAACATAATTCTATTGTAATATATACATTATATATTAATAATGTAAGGCATGAATGAGAATGACCCAAATCCCCTTATACATGTTACGGGGTAAATGAATCAAGATGGGACCTCAAAAAAAAAAAATATATAAAAAAAAATGTCATTTTACATCATTTGCATATAACGTTTTTAAATAACTTTTTAAAACATTATGGATATTACGTCTTTCTATATTTGTCATTTATTGTAAGCAAAATTCTACATATAAAACCATTGGATAAGAATGTTTGAAACATTACGCAAAATAACAAGAGCAAGAATAAGAACAACAACATCAACAATAAAACAACCACCCCCTTTAATGGCCTAAAAACCCCACAACTTTATAAATAATGGAACAGTATGTTAAACAATGGTATTCATAGTCAATAGCTGTTACATATGCTATTTATTGTTTGCCTCCTCGTCAAATCTGATCCGCTTCTCTTGCATAAATTAAACTCTGACTCTAATGTGGCTTGACACGATGATTTTGAAAGGAGAGATGACATTTTCCACCTAGTCTCATTTTGGTACTTAACAATTAACATGTTTTTTTCTGATATAAATACTAAATTATATTAATGGTAGCCAAAAAGTGTTCGAATCCTACATCATGGACAGTGCAGGGCCAGACGTTGGCGCAGGATATATGACCTGTTTTAAACATTCCTTGATTCTCCATTATAGTTCATTTTTCACGTGAGCTAAAAATAGCAGGAAGTTTGACCATTTACTACCTAACATTCCCCAAAGGACCACGCCTCTACTAGAAGTATACCCACTATTGCTCAGGAGATTATAATTAATTACAATTACCATTGCCTTAAGCTTTGCAACAAATAAAAAAAGGGAAAAAAGAAAGATCGTTTATCATTGTATGCATTTGATAAGAATATTTTGCATTATGTCTTTTCAATTTTTTAGATGGCCAATGGGGTGATTACACAACTAATTCATGTACAGTAACATGCGGTGTTGGGGTGCTCGTTTCGGTGAGAAAATGTGATAACCCACCTCCTCAGTATGGCGGGGCTGAATGCACTGGTTCTGCCACGAAGTTTGAGAAATGTGTCAAGGACCTCTGCGCCGTTGGTAATATATAGATATTTCTGGTATTTTGCTTTTAAATTGTTGTTTTTAGAAAAATAATATCTTTTGTGAACTTATTAGGCCATTAAGATATGTTTAGAGAAATAAAGAAACTATTTTTTGGGCTTTATGGGCCTTAAAGAGAGGTTTTAAGAAATGCAGGAAACATTTTACTTTTTTGGACAGGTTAACATTATAATTCATTCCACATTTAGGATATCTTTATAATTCAAGATGGCAAATGGACAGAGTGGGGAAATTACTCAGATTGTCGAGTTGTCTGTGGGGACGGTCACCAGACCAGAACGAGAACCTGTACAAATCCCCCACCTCAGAATAGCGGTAAAGACTGTATTGGTGATGCCATTGAAAGACATGCCTGCAATAACGGCCAGTGCCCTACAGGTTAGAAGTTTGATAATCTATTTTCAAATGTATGTATTTTCTTTACTATGTTATAAATCAATTAAGAGTACACTTAAAACAATATATTTCATTCAGGTTAGGCATTAAGTTATTTGCAAACAATTACAATATTTTCGAAAACGGATAGATGATGTGTTAAATTAGTTTAAACTTAATTTATTCAATAAATTGTACATAAAACATTGACAAACATTTCATAACAGGAAATTCAGACTGAATTGGAAAACATTTACAATACTTATTTCAATTCCTTCCCAGTAAAGGTATATTTTCAAAATAAAGATACCAAAAATGTGGCGGTTAGATAAAATATTTTTGAATATACAGTGTAGAAAAAGTTGTATTGAACTTCTAATTATGCACAGTTTTTAAAGAACTATACAAACTAGACATAACGGTATTTGAATCATTTGTATCGTTTTTTGAACCAAGACCAATCTTTCAAATGCTTTCTTAAATGACGTCATCATTGTTATAACGTAGATATAAAGATATGTGACAAACAGCGTATTCTGAACGCCCAAATGAATATAAACTCAAACAGCACAATTGCTCCGACCACAGCTGTCTGTAACACGAAAAGTTCTGGGGAACCAACCAGTTTCTCGTTGCTCGATACATATTGCAGCGTCCCTGTCGACAGATCAAAATGGCGTCTTGGAATAAGGGTAAATTAATGAGTTTATTGTTATAGAAACAATTTGGTCATGAGTTTTGTTACACTTAAGAAATATGAGATCACATAGATGTACACACATTATGTTGTTACTCTTTACAAGCTAATTGTGAGAAACTGGTTTCCTCTGGTTTGACTTTGATACTGTCTATTTGAAGTTGAAGGCAGTATCCAAGCAACCAACAGTATAGAGCCTGGCCAGAATGCTTGATTGATTTTCTTGACGTGACGGCAGAGAAAGGGAAAGTGACAGAAATATCATGTTCAGATGCTCGTTCATTGGCTACTTTTTTCTAGGGGTTTCATATTGTGACAAAAGGGAACGTGTTTTTATATAAGAGAAAGAACATCAAAATCCCTCGGCAATCTGATTAATACTCGGGGGATACGCCCACTCGTACAAATCAGATAGCTTCGTGATTCGATACTCTTTGTTTAACTTGTCATTTATGGTTTTATTCAGATCTTCGCGTGGTATCATTTTTAGTATGTATGAGGTTATATGAATGTAGTCTATGCTTAATGATGGTCTATCACAAGAAGGAGCATTTGCTGTCGAGTACGGAACGGACCCTGAACATGTCACCAGATATTTTGAAATAAAAGTGATGATAATTTACCTCGAAGCAATTTCTGCGAAGTATTGGCCAATGATATGAATGTTGAGCTTAAAGAAGGTCAATGTTCAGCCTAAATGTACAGTTGCCCAATACAGTATGACAAGGTGCGGTCGTTTTGAACAGAACTGTTAGAGCCAAGCAAAGGCCTAATATGCCAAAAGTACCTGTAAGGGTCTTGTGCACTCTAGCACTTTTCCTCCTGGTCCATGCCAGTCCACTCGTCGTCAAAGAAAAAAGCATTAACCTTTAAATAGATACTTTAACTTATAAAAATAAAGGGAGATCAGGAATAGATAGATAGATTTATTTCGGCAAAGGAAGCATATACATAGTTGACAATATAACATAGGATTAAATAATGAGCATTATTAAATAGTATATCACATACGAGTAAAACTATGACATGCTCACCAAAACCAAGGATAACACAAAAAAGGGCAAAAAAGCTCTTATTTCCATTGTGGTCCTTTGTATTGGCGGCATGACATAGAGAGGCAAACCTTAATATAATCATGTTTAAAAATACTAATAAATCATAAAAATGTATATCACAGTCAAATCTTGAGTTAATGATACTCCTGTTTACAGCTAGGATTTAAAACACAAATTGTAATAAGATAAATGGCAGACAATTTAAAATTCTGAGCCGAAATATGTAAAAACATGTTTAAAAAAAATAAAATTTAAATACTGTTCATAAGATGACTTTTGATGGCAACCTTAAAACTTTGTAACCTGTTGATCTCCGTTAACTTTACAGGTAAATCATTCCATAATTTAATACCAGAGAAAGCAAATGATTTAGAACCCTGGCCTTTGACCTTAGGTAGACAATATCCACCCTTTTGACTAAGTCTTGTACTATAATTATGAATACCCGGATCAAGAAAAGGGAGAAAAACAGAATGAACTACAATAAATGGCAGAACACCGAACTGATATTAATACAGACAAACCTTTGTTAAAGATTATCTGTAAATAAAGGTCATTCAGTAAACAAAGGCCGTTTTGCAACAACCCTTAATTGATTGATTATAACAGAATAACCTCCAAATAAAGACCACTTGTCTATTAAGGTCATGTCAAGTTCCTCTTTTGGATGGGCGTTTTTCACAGGTTTTTCTGTATACCAGCTTCATATACAGCTATAGTTTGTACGATAAATATAAAATTTTAATGTATCTTAAGTAATTGTAATGACGAATTATCACGATAATTTCAGATTCATGATAACTGTGAGTTAATTCCCCTGTACACACCCGTAGGTTCATCAGATAACGGCGTTCATGTGAGAGAAGTTGGTGTTATGACTGACTGCTTCGGAGATACGCTTCAAGTAAGTATTCCTTTTCAAAGAATTGTTATAGTTGAAACAAATTGTGTTTTACTGTTAACATAGCATTTTAATTTTACTATAATTTCTGAATATGATTTATTTATATTTTTATATACTGTTTTTGGTTTGTTTCGTATATTCAATTATAGATAAATGTATACGAAGCATATGGAAACAGCTACTGTTCCTTCTTACTCGAATTCCATTTAAGTCGAAGTAAATGTCGTGTCCTTTGTACTTCGAGATACCGATAGCAAATTGTTCACGTATATTTATATCTACAGCATGCCGATACATGTAGCATACACTACTAATTTAAAATGCTGATCTTGCGCATGCATCAAATATTTTTTACTTTTAATTCTGTCGTTTTGAGCGGTCTTTAAGTTGTTATTCTGATTTATTTGAAATTAAAAAAGCAAGGAATCACGAATAGTCTTGTTACCATCATTAACAACAGTTACAACAATAACGACATAAAAAAGCATGTAACATCACGAAATGTGTAAATGGGTTTTACACTTTGAAGTTTACATAAGTTTGAGCGAAGTTAAATATTAAAATAATAACAAATAGCTGCATTGTTATAATTTAGATGCACAGTTATTAACTATTTTGTGTCGTTAAACCGCACTTTAAGGCTCATCTTCCGTTTTTTTATATTGCAGATGCTGTCATGTGACAGTGACGTCACAGTTAAGTCATACAATCTAACAAACAGTATAGCCAGTCTTCACATGATTCTGTTCGAAAACTGACACCACAGCGAAATGGCCTTGTTAAATATTGTATTATGGAATATAAATATTTATTCCCGAGGGTTTCTGTTATAATTTATTAAACCATTTTCATGAAAGACACATGTCTGTTTGCGTTTTTTTTGTCTTCATTCATTATCTGGACAAATAGGGGTGTCGATAATTCCTAAACAATTGTGTATGATACTACGTCATCGCGCACCTTCTAAATGCTCCCTCTCGGAACGTTAAATCCGTGGACTCAAAGGTAAAATACAATTTTATTATCAGACATAGTAAGGGTATCAAAATATTATGTAGCGCGCCAAAGAATGGCCATAGTACTTGAGATAATTGTAAAAAATGTTTATAGATTTATTGCCTGGTTTTGGCCTGAAAACGGGATAAGTGCTTTTTTTCTTTGAATGCTCCCCCTCGGACTTTTCCCTGAACAAATAAGAAATAAGGTTGAAAACATTCTTGAAAATTATTTTTAACGTACCGGAACATAAACCGAGTCATGTTTACACAATATCTATATTGTTTTCAAATAAATTCCATTCAAAAGTTAGTTGTTCCCATTTCTTTTACAAAAAATGGAAAATGCTCCCACTCGGACTCGATTCCAGAGATTCTCCCACTCGGATCCACATATATCACGCCGGCAAACTGTCGCTCCACTTCAAAATTGTGATGTACGGTAAAACGAGCGAATGGCATTTCCGAGACATCGTCGGATACCCACGATTGATAAACATGTCACATAACATGCAATCAACCGTGGGTAAAATGAATCGGTTTGTGTCGATATACAGCAGCAGGTGCGTAAAATATCTACCAATGACATCGCGTTTAACAAATCTATATTCTTCAACAGCGGAGGTAAAAAACAATAAGAAAAAAATGGCAGCGCCCACTGTTAAAAACTGTTGCACGTGTCTTGCTAAAATCATTTACAAAAACTATCGCCAAATCAGTTCTTTTGCAAGCAGATATCAATCATAAAGGAAAAATCACGCTGTAAAAGTAAATTATCTATACTTTCTTGCTGAAAATCGTTTAATTTTTCGATGTTAAACTTTTTACGTCGTCTATGGTTGTCGCAATATTGTCTGTAATACCGAACGTCGTACAGAACGAGTGTTTTGATTGGTTTTAATCGCCTCATGAAATCGTGATGCAGCCGCCTTTGACACACGTCTAATCGACTGAATATCGGCAAAAAATCCCACACCTGATGAATGATAATGGTTCGGCCGTGGGTATCCGACGATGTTTCCGAGAAAGAGCGGCCGATTTAAACTGATAATTGTAAGTGTTGTTTATGTTTCTTGTCTTGTTACTTATTGATAGCCTAAAACAATCCTACATGGAACTACATTTTCCGTTTTTCGAAACAATACAACTGAATAGTATATGAATAGTAAGACAAAAACATAATTATCCGTTTAAATCGGCCTTTTGCTCTACCTCGGAAATGCCGTTCGCTCGTTGCGACAGTTTGCCGGGCGTGTATATACAGATTTTCGAAGCACATTACCTTTTTTAGCTCACTTTTATGGATTTTTTTTCACAAATTGTACACCATTTTGTCAATAAATAATGTGTTTCGCGACATTTATTTTTTTCCCTATTTTTTTACAGAGATCACTTCTTTGATCCTGAAGAAAGACGTCGTCAGACAGTAATAAGGCGCCATGGCAAAGGTTCAAGTGATAGGATCACTTTACCAGAACGTGCACTTGGCTTATCCGAAGAGATTATTCAAAATTAAAGCCAACAACAAAGCTAGCGCTATAAGTCTTTAAATGGACAGTTTGGATCTTTAATCTTAAGAATAATGTGTTGTTGAGATGTTAAAAAAATACATTTTTCTGATACTCTTACTGATAAAATTGTATTTTTCCTTCGAGTCGACAGAATTTCTGCAAAAAAATTGTCCGAGTCGGACATTTAGCATGAGCGCGATGACGTAATATCCTACCATTCAAAAGATAATGTTTGAAATTTGCCATGGTGTAGGTGAAACGCTAGCACACAATAACCAGTGGTTCAAACCTATATATATGGGATACTATCCAATAAATAAATTCATCACCTTTAGTTTTTGCATATTCTTATGCTCATTATGAGTATACGTTCTACCAACGTCGTTACAATATTTTAGATTTTTTCAATTTAAATTCATGGCTTCTGTTGGTCGGTAAAAATTTAAACATTCTATCCAAAATGATATAATTTGATAAACAAGACATCGTAGATTGCGATATCATCCACACGCATGTGACATTCACCTTTTTAAAAGAATCAATACACGTTTTATGTTAAACACTACATGTACAAAAAACAACAACAACAAATGCTGTAACAAATTCTAATATTAAATATTTACAAAATTTATCCCAGAGTTATTTAAAAAAGTAGCAACTTTGAAAAAAATATTCTATAAGAGAAAGTGATACTTCTATTAAAGGCCAATTAAGTCTTAGAAATGCTTTAATTTTTATTTCACAAAAGCGTTTGATTTTTGGAGTTTTTGGTATAGTTTCCGAAAAAAAATAACTCATTGGCCAATTACTAGTACCTGAACCCTCTTTTTTCATCTGTTGTTGTCTGTGTTCTTGGCAATTAGTGCATTTATAATGAATAAGTATTTTGTTTGGAAGTCACAAAACTACTTTGTTACCATTTTGCTACATATATAACAAATTATTTTACATTAACGTTCTTCAGATGATATTTATATAACATGCACTTTACCCACTATTCAAACGCCATAAAATTCACGTTTGCTCTCTCTAAACTAGTAGAGAAGTAAAAAGTTATTCATTTCTTAGACATAATGGGCCTTTTATGTTTTAATTAGTAGGTTACACATGATATAAATGTAACACAGCAAGGAACACCGCAGTTAACAACAGTTCAGATATTGCAAATAAAAGGAAACACATTCTATCAACCATACAAGCAATGTCTATCCAAGAATATTCTGGGCCGTAGGGTTGTAACGGCTGCGTAGATGAAGTGTTCGAACCGTCAGTAGAAACCGTAACATCCGAAGAAGTCCGCGTGCTTTGTGCACTGTTCATTCTATCAAATACCTGGTGGCCGTTACGCGGTCTGGCTGCCGTGACCCGCCGTTTAGCGGGGTTTTGCCTATACCCCCGGTTAAAAGAGGGAGGGCTAAACCACGGTATTTCTTTGGGCCCCATTGGAAATCTGCCAGAGAATAATGTCCCGTGTTTTGTTCCCCGGGTGCTTCTATAATGCGTGTCGTTGGTAATTCTGTACTATTGAGTGACGTCTGTAAAATTGAGGGAGGGGCGTGTTTCACTCTAAAAAGTAAACAACCCATTCCTGGAAAAACATCGACGTTGGGGGGTAGCCTTTAATTTTTTAAAACCGACAGGAGGACGCTCGTCGCGGTCTTTTTTCGGTCCCAGACTTTTCAACGACGACTTGCCAACTCAAAAGTCAAAAATTGTTAATGAAAAAGAAGAGTTAAAATGAAGAAAACCAACCCCTAAAAATAAAAATATTGAAAAAGAAAAACTTGAGGAATTAAAATGCTTTTATGGAATGAAACCGCCGGTGAACCCCGGATGAAGATTATTTTTTTTAAGAAAATCAGGACATAAAAAACAGACGCTTTTTTTGTTACACAGTGGGTAGTAATTTCCAAAGAAATTAACTGTATAATCATTAACACCGTAAAAAACATGGATAAATTTTTTTATATTGAAAATTACATTTGACCATAAGGATTTATGCCCTTAAAGGGAAGCGGTGGCATAATGGTTAATTGTCTGCCTCTCAAAACCCAGAGCGTGAGTTCGAGCCTCACTCAGGTTCAGACGACATGTTTCTTCATATGACATCAGTACTGTTTGGTTCCATTGGAAGCGGATTTGAAAACGATTAATAATAAGTTGCAAGGGAAACTTGCCTTGGCAATCCCGAAGCTTAAATAAATATTTATACTGAGCCCAATGAACTTTCACCGTGATTAAAGCCCGATATTTTTATTTGAAGAATTTGGCCATATATGATTTATACTGAGCCAAAATGAAATAATGTCTTAAAGATAAAAATTAACCAAATATATAAATATAGTGAAAGGGGACAGTAAGCTTTTACTTACTAATTGCAGGAAGCTTGCCCTTGGTAAGCGGGATTAGTGAGGTAAACATTGCCAGGGAGATAACATCGAGTATAATTATGCGTAAGGAAAATGAAGATTTTTCTCCCTTTGTTGACGGAAGTATAAAGACAACCAAACCGAGGCTTGATACCAGAAAATACGGGACAAGCAACATCCACAAATAAAATGAACAATTGCGCTGAAGTTTAAATGTGAATCTGAAATAAATGAAAGAAATATTTGACACACATAAAACCACAATATGTTCAATAAAGTAGATAACAGCGGCCATTGCAATATATACATTAAATTTGTGTATATCCGTGCTCTGTTTGTAAAAACCGAATTTTAATAATTACATAAAAAGCCTGATTAACAAAATACGAATAAATAATATATAATCGAGAAAACTTATTTACAAAATGAAAATCAATTATATTACAAATGACTGGTGTTAACGTGATGGTGACAGATATTCCGTTTCTCTCGTAGTGAAATGCCCAGTCCATTGAAATTCGAGTTACCGCGATTCAACTGTATGTAAAAGATGGCAGTACATGGTACTTACTTTAGCAATGTTTTCGGGAATTTTCCGTGAAGGTCAAGCTGATCTTCAGTCTCTGTAGTTGTTTCAAACACAGTCCATTCGTCATGGTCGATAACATTGTCCAGTTTTATGCTGGTAGAGTTATGTGACAGAGTTACCTCCGTGTTGTCATAGGCAGCACTTGTCAAACCTGAATACGAGAGATTGAATGAAACACACACAAAAGAAAGAAACAACAACAGCAGCAGCAACAACAACAACAAGTATGCATGAATATGAATATTGATATTTAAGTGCATATATCTTTAATACTGTTAATTTTATGATTTATGAGAGTTGTTTCGTAAAGATAATTTCCGTCTTGTTTTGTTATACTACAAATGATCGTATTATAATGTATACATAACTATATACGACTATTGTCCCTTACGCACACGTGGAAGACAATTTTAGCTTATGTTTTACATTATTATTTGTCCTTAAGTTATTGAAACCATAACTTAGACCAATCCGCAATTAAGACAAAGACTTATATTATTTATGACAGACCAAAGAAAACCAAAGTTTTATTTTGTATTGCATCAGAAACATAATCCAAAATTATCACCACCAACCATCCAATGAGCTGACCAGCCTTTCCATTCACCATTTTTATATGTAATTAGACTCCGAGGATAAGTCGATACACGATAGCTTGTAATTAGATTAACAAGTACAAAATTATCTTTTTTTTGCTTTACCGTTTATATATCAAACCTTAAAGTGACGTTATGCCCGCCAAGGGTATATATTGAGTGAAATTGTGAAAGTCAAACAAAGCTTACAATTTCACAAAATTCCCTTCTATTCTATAATTTTCCTTTGCATGGTCGATATATAACTAACATAGCCCAAAGAAGTTTCTATAAATATCCATCGAAATGTATCTGTCACGTTAAAATTATAAAAAAGTGGGGCAGTCTTTTTATATTTTAGGCAGATTTACATTTTATCCTGATCAATTTCAAATATGAACTGTTGGTCAATCTGCAATAGTGATGGTTAGTCTTTTAAAATATAAAACTTGACAGTTAAAATATGAGCACAATGTCACTTTAACATTTTAGAAAATATGCATTCTAGAATATTTTGATATAAAATGCCAACTTACGTATATAGCAGGTCTGTCTGTCATATGGGAAATATGTCGGGTCAACCTCACAATGCACTGTAAATACCCCACCTGGTTCCCAAACAACTGAACCGGAACTATCTACCCGCATTTGCTGCGATACGTCATCTAAAATCTCAAATTCATCCGCCCTGTAATTAAACGATGCCGAATGATAATTACCGGAGAGTGTAAACTTTTTATTTCAACCTTTAAACTTTCTGAACTCCTATATGCTTGATCATAAATATTATTTTTCTATTTAGTTTGGACAGAAGTGCATATCTTGGTTTTATATTTTGTAAATAATTTTAATATTTACTGATACAAGTATATAGAAATGTCAATAATTTGCCTGGAAAAATTTAAACATGATAGTGGTAATTACATATCTAACATAGATTTAAGACAGTTCCCTGAAAGGTGGTTAAAAGGAGGTCGCAATGTATAATAAGTTATTCTAACACGACCCGCATTTTTCCCTAGAAAAAGAAGAACAGAAGAACACAGAAGAACAGAAAGTGTGTGTTATTATGTTTGGAGTTCGGATGCGAGGCTACGCCCTCGTGATATAATGATGCGCATCCGAACGACAAACAGTGATGTTATTGAGCGATAAAATCACTGTTTGTGATATATTATTTCTTAAATAGCATACCATTTCAGTAATTACGCAGTAAATTTTAATTCATTTCGCAGAACAGAAATAATTATTCTGGAAAAATCGAGTGAGCAAATGTATATTGGTATAGACAAACATCATAAAGTACAAAAATGTATAAAGCGGAATCCATTTTGAGCAATATGATAAAATAACTTTTCAATTTCAATATTGGAGGATTCGTAACACTGTTGCTTTGCTCGTAACACGTGCATAAGACCAGTTCACCATGTTGCGATACAGTTTGTTTACTCATGTATTGACACAGTTATTTTATATGTTTTTTTTTCGTTTTCTAATATATACAGAATACTATATGACTAAGTAATTTTCACAGAATATCATCTTGAGATTACAACAACGAAAACGTCGACTAAGAGTTAACCATCAATCTGTTGGAGTCCAAAATGGCTGGCCTTTGTTATCAGTATAAAACCAGGCCAGCCTTGACATCCGTGCAACCTAATCAGGATTTTACATAAATGCCCATTATGCCTCAGAAATACTTTTAATTTTATTTCTCAAAAGCGTTAAAATAGTTGGTGTACTTAAATAATTTGGTGTATCGAAAACGTTACTCATTGGCCAATAAAATGTACCATATTTTTCATCTTTTGGTTTTATATCAAATAGCACAGTTATAGCGAGTATGTATTTTGTATTGAAGTCAAAATACTACTTTGTTTTCACGACAAAATATTACACACTTAATGCTACTTTCTTCAGGTAAAAAGCATTTAGCAATCTCTAAAACCATAATGTAAACATTATAAAATTCATGTTAGCCCTTTCTTTGTTTGTTTGTTTGTTTGTTTCATTTTACGCCTTTTTCCAACAGTATTTCAGTCATATAGGCGGGTAGTTTCCTAACCATCGTTCCTGGAGAGTTACACCAGTACTAGACTACCTTCCTCCGCGCTAAACTACCAAAGCATCTCCCGGGGATCGAACCCACGCCAGAGAGGTAACTGGATTAGAAGTCATCGACTCTAACCCCTCGACCACGGAGGCAAGAATTAAAACTTTATTTGTTGCTAAAACAAAATGTGCCTTTAATTATTGTATTTAAATTGTAAATGCAATGTTCTAATACTATGACGGAGTAAATCATTTAAGATGATCATCTTTGAGTAAAATGTTTTATTGCAAAATTTATTGAAATCTATAAAATTCTAACTCAAAATGTTTTATTTGAATAAAAGAACGTACAAACTATGCATGAGAATTCCTTATATTACGGGTTATGTAAAGTTTTTTTTGTAAAGTCACCACTTAGTCATAACATATCTGCTTTGTGTTTAGTCAAAACATACTTATTATATATTTACAAAAAAAACAATCTGTGTTATAATTATCAATATTTTCAAATAAAGTACAGTATACCTACAATAGCTTAAAGAAACGTTTAATGGAATATTTTGATTATCAAAATGGGTCATGCAAGCGACAAATAACACGAATATCATTAATCATTTCTATGCAGGTTTCGAAATTCTACACCTGTATTTTGGTCCAAATATTTTATGAATATTTTTTCTATTGTTTAATAAATAGGTCAATGTAACGCTATCATAGAACTTAATCTCTTTGTGCTACAAGATTTCTTTCTATGTCATGTGGTTGATTTAAATCTTTTATATTAATGAAAGCAAATAGAATGTTAACTATTTAGGTAGGACTTAGTTTTGACAATCACAGGCGTGTAGAGTCACTATATATGACATACATCTTTAGTCTTGTTTTATGTCAATCGTAACAACTCGACAATCTCCGTGAATTCTTGAAGTCGCCCGAGGTGTTCCGATTGGTTTTATGTAAATCCGGTGATCTTTCTCGGACTTTGCTTTACTTTCGCGCTTTAGATTTAGTACAATTCATTTTAAAATCCAGAACCCATTTTCCGATGACATTTTATAGTCCATAGTCCGTTTTTTCCAGGTTTTACACACGTGGAATCTTTCTCAACTTAATACAGCGAGTGACATTTTCAAAATGATTAAATTGCCTCAGTTTGTGGCAATTCAGTTTTTGCAAGAAAATGGTATAACATCTTCAGGTTGCTGATATTGTAATGTCACAAGGGACTTATCTTAATATCTTTTTTATTTGCTACTACAAAAGTTGATTGACAATAAAAATCTTTGCATGGACAACATTGTTGATAATGTCTGGCTTGTTTCTCATTTAGGGACACATTTTCTGTTTACCGTTTTTACCTAGGGACCATAAGCCTGTTTTCATGGAATGACACCAACGTGTCACATGAATAGTTCCATGATAACTGCCATATGAATACATCTGTGAATGTTTCAAAATAGAAAAATAGAAAATTTTACCAGGTTATGTTAAATGTTAATTTTGCTTAAGTCGGTGTTAGAGGGCATGAACTGTAGTCTATGAACAGACTCAATCAACATTTTTCCGTGTCGAGCTTTCTTTACGGGTTCTGCTATTTTTTTCAGTCTCTCAAGTACTTGAAATAAACAGAAGGGTTAGATGAAAGTTAAAAAGGCGATGTTGTGACCAATGTTCATTCAGTTCATTCCATTCTTAAAGACGAAACTGATATGGTGTCTTTACCTTTTATCATGATTAATAGGACACCTATCCGAGTATGTCACTTGATGGAAGAAAGTTCTTTATGCAGATTGATGCGATGAATGAAGTCTGTGACTACAGCCTTGTGTTAGGGATAGACGTGCGATGATTATTTAAGAACTGATAAAGGTGCTTTGGGAAAGTGTTGTCATTCATTCAAATGCTTATAGCACAAAAGCTACAAAACATTCAATAGAGCCTAATCTTCAGAAATGACAAAAGTGATACGATTTACAGCCATGTAAATCGCAGCAAATGTAAATATGTTCCCCTTGGACAATGCTGAACTAAAACATATAATTTAATATGACAACAATTACCAATCCTATAATAGCTTCCACGTTATCGTTAGTAACCAGACCTTGCGTCTACAGACCTTTAGTTATTTGGAAAATGATAAAGTCCTGAATAACACTGAATGTTAATGATATGTCACACACAGTAAAGAATTTTCAAGACTTTCAAGACTGAATATGTTAAGACTATACTTAATTGACTATTGACACTCAAATGATGTACTGTTATACATTTACGCAATACATTATGTCTAGGAAAGTATCTCATACCCTTTACCTCTAAAACTTGCAACTCCATTTCTTTTCTAATTCAAACAGATGTCAATGGGTATTAATGTTGCTTCAAAAGATATAAACATGGAAATCCATTCAGCTGACTTTTAGCGGTTAACGATTTCTGTACAAATTAGCTACCCTTGACGTAGTAGACAAATTATGTTCTCAAAATCAAACAGATATTTCCAAAAGTATCAAAGCATGCTAACTAAACAAATGTATTGTATAAAACCTCGTAAAGTCCCTGAAGCTTTCAGTGATTTTTTTTTACAAATGTCTGCAAACTGTTTTACGCGTATGAATGTAACGAAGTGTACAAACTAATAAGTAAGGCTTACGTATTCTCTACAGCAAGCTGTGGTTTCCAGCAATATTCTTTAGTAAGAAACAAATAATCCACATTTCCATGATTGCTAGGTGTCCATACAAAAGCAGTGTCTACCCATGACTGTAATATAAAATTGTCAAATATCCTCATCAGTTACGCAATGTGGTATGATTGAAATAGTATGTAATTTGTTTGTGTTTTTACTTCCTTAAATGTATAATAACGTTTTTTGCACATCTTTATTATTCTGAAGAATAGAACATTAAGTTTGCTTAATCTTAATTTGTCTTGTGTGTTTTATATTTTTCTGGTTCTTCGAGGTCATTGAGTTCGATAGTTTATTGTGTGTGAGTGTTTTTTATTGAATATTAGTAATACTGCAACATGTCCTTACGCCGGTGCTAGGGTGCCTAAGAAATGTTGCATCTTACATTTTCTCATATGGACAGACTCAATGACACCGACTATGCAGTTTTCTCACTTTTTATGTTTTTGAAGACTCTCACCTTTACCATAGTTTTATATTAAAATCAAAATATCAGTTATTCAGAGACTAATAATAATTATTTCATGAGAAACAAACATTGCACAAATGTCATAGTGTCAATTAAACGAAGACAAGAAGGCTGATTATAATTATGCAAATACGTCAATTATCTGTTCGGGTCATATTATCGTCTATTTCTTTCTATATCAATTTGAGCTGAATTCACTTTAGATTTCAAAGATTGACTGTTATAATGCAGATTGGCTTACAGCCAATATTGGAATATGTTAAAGATAAAATAAAATTTGCAGAAATTTTAAAAAGACTGCCCCACTATTTTTGTAGATTTTGAACGTTAGAGGTTAATTCAGTATAGCTACAAAATTACATAAATTTCTTCTGGCCACATGGTTATTGGTTATTTATCGTTCATGTGAATTAAATGATGAAATAGGAATGAATTATTAAAAAGATGTAAACTTACGTGATATTCACCTTTGTTGACTCACTATATACCCTTGTGCGGGTAATTTGTCACTTTGAAAATCAAAACAGATGTAGAAACTAACAATTGATATTAAAATCTAACTTTTCCGATTTAAATTTTCATTTTTTCAAAGTGTCGATAAAGACAAAACTAACTCACCACAGAAAACCAGCCTGTCACAGAAAATTTCCCAGTTCCGATGTCCTATGAGAAACAAAACAGTAGTTAGTTTGTTTTTTTTCAAGAAAAATCAGATAATAATAAAATTACAAAATATAAATAGATCCCATAATGGCATAATCAATAAGAAAATAAAGTACATGATGTGTTATTATTTAATATTTCTATTTATTCAATTTTCCAAGATCATGGATGAAATAGTCGAATAAAATAATAACGGGAAAAAAGGTCGTTCTGTAATGTTTTTTTCAGTCAACATGTTTTATTTGTAAGAGCTCGTTTTTGAGTTTCATAAACATAATATTATCAAGTATTCTTAGTGAATCACTTCAAAAAGGTTTTAGAAAATGAAATGTACAAATTCTTACCGTTTAAAAATTAAATACTTTCACGTGAAGCCTATGTAAATAACAAAAGTTTAGATGGATGTGGAGCAAACAACTGTGACGAAAAACGTGACAAAAGATTTTGTGTAGAATTCATAATTACCAGATAATTGACGGAGGTAACAGCTAGGGATACGGACACCCTAACATTACTGTCTGGTCGAATGTTTGCGTTATGACCGTACGTTAGCGAGTTGAACAGATTCTGGGAGCTGGTGTAGAACGGTGTAGAGGTATACACTGAAAAATAAAAAAGACAAAGTGAGATATTAAGACTAGTACATTCTGAAGATTGCTTTTAACATTTTAAAGAGATTTATCTTAAGAGTTTTTTTTCAAAAAGTTATTCAACCAAAACTATATTGTTGATATAATTTTGTAGATTATATCTCTGTAAGTCACTTAGCGTATGCACACGAATAAAGTTTTAAATGGTATATAATGTTTCGGAACTAAATAATTATTATAATACTGTTATTTGAAGTTGAGTTTTAACTGTTAAGCAGTGATTTTGTGAACGTGCTATTCGCTCATTAGGAAATATGAAATATGCAAACATGAATGATAACAGCTTTTGAATCAATTTGATTGAGCCTGTTCACGACCCCTAGCACCGGCTTAAGCAGACTTCAACATATAAATAATTTGAATTTAGAAACATCCGCGGCGGTTATCATAGATCCTCCAATGAAACACTTTCGTACCATTCCAGAAAAAGAATGCGTGAGCCCAAAATGAATGATCAATAAACACTTAACAAACATTTAACTCTTCAACGGTTGCATTTGTGTGCTTTAATTTGGAATGGTTAATTCAAAGTTTAACGGATTTCAGTATCAAAATGCAAAAATATTTATTGACATGGTAGGATCTGATCAGACTAGACAGCTTTTCTACAAATGATTTGCTGGTTACGATTATATCAATTCATCTTTCATAAGTAAGTAAGTACAAATTAATTTTAATTTTGTCAGTTTATCAATTTATCTATAGCTCGTATGGAAATAGTCTAATTATCGGTCTGTGTATATCTTTCGCATAAGCCACGATATTGTTTTAAACACATCTCGTAGTTTGCTTTTTTTTTTACAATTACCAGTACTATTTTTTATAGAATATATAATCATATCAAAAGTTTATTACAAGCCCATTATGCATCAGAAATGCTATTATTTTTATTTCTCAAAAACTGTTTGTTTGGTATCTTGTAACAGTTTTCAAAACCACACTCAATTGATATATAAATGAACCATCTTTTGCATCTTTAGGTCTGTTGACAGTTGGTATAATTATAGTACAATAATATTTTGTATAGAAGTCAATCCTGTTCAGCGCTACTTTTTTGCAGTTGTTAAACATTTAACATGCTCTTAATCTATTATTCAAACATAATTAAACACATGTTTAACATTCTGAGAAATTAAAAACATATATAGCTTTCTTAGGCATGATGTGCATTTAAGGTATTACAGACCAGTATAATTTTTTGGTGCTATTTCAGAATTATATTTTGTAAAAAATATTCATATTTTCACCTATCCAAAAATTTTTTGTTTGAATAAATTTATGAAGCTTACAAAACCCTTTATACTCTTTTAACAAGTAGCTCATTTTTGTTACATTATATTCTCAGTTTATTTTTTAATAAGACATACAGTGAAGCAGCAATATTGTTTAAAATAATTCAGAACACCGACAATAGTATGCAGTGTTGACACATACGTAAATAAGTTAATTATCATCTAAAACTTAAATGGTTAAACAATATACACACTGTCTATTATAAAAACGTATATTATAATACATGTATGTATTTTATGTAAAACATTGACATTACCTAATAAAACGATTTATTTTTTACTTATAAATGAAATATTGAGAAATATTGACGAAATAAAATGCGTTTCTTTTTCATTTTCCATATTTTCCCTGTAAAAAATTATTTTTCTCTGCAGTGAAACATATTTTCCACATTTTCACTGGTGACTTGCTAGACTTCTTTCCTTTAAATTCAGCCAATACACAAAATTTAAGGCAAAGTCTTTCAAAATACAATGTCAAAAAGAGAAAAAATTATATTATAAACAGAAAATTAAAGTAGTGTTTTCCTTTAATTACAGTCGTAGATTTGTTTTGTTCTTGTGGTATGTAAATTACATATTTCACTCGTGGCTGCCACTCATGAACTATTAATTTTCGTATCACTCGATGAAAATAAATCCTGTATTTACAAAAAAAAAAGCCAAAAAAAATTTCTCATATCGGCCTTATAAGATATTAATATTATGAAGTCTACCTTGTAACAGGATGAAATAAACATAATAATATTATATTCACATAATGCGATAATACAATCATGACATATACTAAATAAAGTAACAATAGTATTATTCGTATGAATGACATATTTAATATTATGTTGTTAGTAATAAAATTATATACTTGGTATATATCATAATTCTAGTGTTATATTTGGTATATATCATAAATAATTATATAAGTATAACACGATAAAAACAATAGAAACCACTCAGATCATATATAAAAACATTTTTCATTTTTCTTACCATTGTCAGAAAAGAATACAATTATGTACAAGAGATGTAATATCCAACTAAGATGGTATTTCATATTTTCATAATAACAGCTTGTATGCTATTTTATACATAAATTCCTTCTAAGCATCACGATTAATAATTTCATTGTTAACACTAAATTGCTTCACCCTTACATTCTTACACCATAATAAAATAACTCAAAATCAACTCGTATTTTAACCGAAAAACCAAAGGACACAAAGGAACTAATAATTATTCAGCCCAAAACAATTCTTTTCAATCCTTTAATGCCATTTCGCTTCATTTGTCTTTACCTAAAGATCATTTTCACGCTAGATCTTTGAGTAAAAAATAAAATACTTGATTTTTTAACAAATTTGCCATTTAAAATCAGATAGTAAAATGACAGTTAAAACAAAGGATTCATAAAGATATTTGAGATTGTTTACAAATGTATACATGAGAAAGTCTTTTGTTTGTATGTAATCAAAGGACATAAACTATATTGTCTTTCAGAATGCTATCAGCTAATTATTGAACTATTGTTCCGTTCAAAAATGCTATTTTGTTAATAATTTCCTTACTTGATTGTTTTAACTAAATATCGTAGTTTAATATACCGAGTATATCTTTAAAAAAATAAATACATTTTGTAAATAAAATTTGTATTGATTAAAACAAACGGTTAAAAGATTACGAAACTATATACAATCAGGTTTAAAGAAAGCTATATATCTACTGATATTTTGTTTATCTCGTCCTTTACTCTATTTTGTGAAGTATTTCTATTTCCATTTCCTTTGTAATATCTTTTTTTTTAATTTAAATTATTCATATTGCCACGAAATAATCATTGCCGAATGTCATGCTTGTCAAATAAGTTTTGCTTCTCATTATATAATGCATTCATAGGAATAACGCAATACATCCATCCCCCAGGATTCCATGCTGCAAAATGATACAACATAAAATGATGAAATAATAAGAGACAGTGAATAGTATAATATTTCTGTATAATTATTCCAGTTTTCTTAAATGGTTTTACTTACATGGGAAAATTAAATATAATGAAGAATTTGGTATTACAAGAATCAGCAATTAAATACACATGACAGCTGGATATCACAGTTTTAAACATATAACAGTATTAAAAATTCAGGAAGTAAACCTGTGTCACTACGCGAAAAATATGCCAGGAATATATAACTAAAACTCTTCTCTTCTTGATAATAAAATGGCCTGGTGATAATAAAATGGCCTGGACTTCATACAGTCATGATTTATCTGGAAATGAATATCCCATCAAAAACAATGCAGACAAGGTTTTATTGAGTCTGTTCATTAGAGATAGTGGAAAGTTGGAAGCTGCATCAACTCTCACGCCCACCAGCGCCATTATCATAAGTTCCACTTAAGACGGTGCCAGGGTGCCTTACCTGTAGTTTGCATTTTCCAACTGCCGTCCATTAACAGGCTAAATAAAACCGAACCTGCAACATATTCGAGCAATGCAACAAACTTTTAAGAGAGAAATGCTACATTAACATTACAAAAGTATATCAAATTCTTTTTAAAATAGTGATTTATGACGGATGCACCGTATAATCTCAAAGTCCATATCATATGAATCAAACCATAGCAAAAGTTGGCATGAACATAGAATTAATCGTTTATTTATGCAGTCTCCAAAAACATCACTTTGATTTATATAAACATGATACCTGAATGATGTTATGTTTAAATTGAATTACTCGCTCGTATGACAAAATAACACGACGTGACGGTAATAATGGTATCTCTACATCTCGTGATTGCATACGTCTACGTGATATCATTGAATACTTAGCTACTATCTATTTAACACATTTCACGGGTGAAAAACACCATTAGGGTAGATAGAAATAAATTTTATGTTGTCAACACATTATTATATAGCCCACCCTTTGAAAGAGAAGAAGAGTCGTCGCATATAATTTATTTTTAATTTAGATCTATTTCTTAGCTGTGTGGTAAAATCGTAAAACTTTAAGAATTCCCCATATATTAATCCGAGGCTGATTGAAGTTTTTTAACATTTATTTCTTTTTTGTTCAAACTTTGTTAATTGGAAGTATTGATGCATTAATATTTTTTGTTTTTGTTAATTATCGCACTAATATTTTTCTTATTATAACGAGACGAGAGAAATTGTTATGTAGTACAAATGTATTACAATTATATAAATAGCTAAGTTTATTACTTTGTTTTGCCTACTAGTACAAATGTACTTAACAATTTGCCATGTAACTGATATAGTAGTATGAATCATATTGCACCAACCGTCTTCCAGTGTTTTAAAAAATTGCTTATTACCGCTGCACCATAACCATTTACCTGCTTGAAATTTTTCCCGTCGTTTATAGTTATGTATGTAGAGTTAGTAAAATGTATTGTAAAACTAAATACAATGTATATGTTTGCTGTCTGAAACAGGTCTTTACCATACAGTATACTATGATTTACAAATAAGTGTTATGAGATTAACTTTTTGTTGAAGTATTGTGCGGTTAAAGTCAAGCACGGCAATAAAGTTAGTATGTATGCTTTATCTCAAGTATTTGAACAACTTATTTTATTAAACTTGCGTCTTCAGATTTGACCTGTTACGAGTGCATGTCAATTTATGACACACATGTAATTAACTGAAAACAATAGTTTTAAAATATGTTAAAAGTTTGATAAATTGAAATTTGAAGCCTCTATAATGTCATTGTACATCGACAGACAAATAGGGATATTCAGCAAAGTTATAACAACCCCCTATTTTTGAAGACATTTTTTTTTCAAAATGTATGAATTGTAATAGGTGTATTCATAGTTTATAATTCACAACATTAGGTATTCAACTTGTTTGTTTTGTCTTTAACTTTTTAGATTTTCTTTCTTCTATACATTGCCTAAAATCAGTAGTACATAAGTGTAAATATATTTTGTTTATTTGAAAGAAAGCTTTGTCAAAGTGGTGCAGATGTACGTCCTTCAGTCTAGAGACGTATGGTTCTATTGATTAGTGCAAAATCACCATGTCGTATCTAATTAAATGCATATTAAAGAATATTTGAATCCTAACCAATAACCTTACCGATTTAAGTGTAACTTGCAACGATATAATGACAGACAAAGAAAATAAACGTATTCCGTTTCGTTATTGTTAGTGGACATAAAATTGGAAATACTTGCTCGATTTGGCATGGCTTTTAGTCAGATTGGAGAGTGAAAAGACATGTAACACTTTTAGTTTTTTTATCAATTGGCACAATAAAAATGATCTATCAGGGAAAACGGCGTAAATTAATGATTTGACACTTTTTCCTTTAACTTGTGTCATAAAAAGTTATATCTTATTCTGCAAGGAAGATATTATTACTTACCATTATAGTTTTAAACTTACAAACCAGGGGACGAATATTGACAGAAAAGAACGAAACAAAAACAACCACAAAGTATAGTCTTTAAAGGCACATTTCACAATCTCATTTAAAAAGGCATACCTAAATTTACTTTTGGTTCTTATGTGTTCGATTACAATCGCCATGTAAGAACTGAACCATGCCATATGTGTTATATTTTGTCCGTTCAAAACAGATATTATACGTTTGTGTACGACGCGTTTGCTAAAGCAAGTGTTGTGTCAGAACTTTACCTAGAATTAAACTTTCTTAAATTCCTTTCCTTTGAAACGGAAATAAGCATACTTTGTATATGTTTTCGCCTTATGTGTATAACGGAAACAAATATCTGTCAGAACTGTACCATGTCTTAACATTTTACCTCATAAAGACGTGTTTTGACGGCTTTTTGCACCCCTCTTTTCAGGCCTCAATCAATGAAACAATGCCCTTTTTAGGCCACAAACACAGGTTTTTGTTTGAGAAATGTTGTTGCCTCTATCAAAATGGTACATCAAGGGCTTGTCAGACCGGAGATGTGCCCTCTTCTGTTTGTAGGGTTTGAAGGGGGAGGGGCGACAGCCCCCCTCATCGCCAAGAAAATTTTGGACATGTGACAGACTAAAAAAGGCTTCAGGTCGATCTTAGGGTAACTAGTTACAAACGCTGAAAAGCCTTTGACTCTATCTCAATCCATTGAGAAGTTACAGTAATTTGAAATCAGTTTTGATGAAAAAAAAAAAAAAAAAAAAAAAAAAAACAACAAAAAAAAAACAAAAAATGGGTTATAATAAGCAATTGTTGTGTCAGAAATTTACCAATTCATGTGTCATATTTATTTCCCTTAATAACATACGTTTCGGTCCCATGTGGTTGATGAAACAATTATTATGTCAAAACCTTATGAAATCGTCTTAATTTCCATCGAAACGGAAATCAGGATATACGTCTAAGTCCTATGTGTTCGATGAAACAGTTTTCGTATGTATGGTATTTTCCTATGTGAAAGCAATATTACCAAATCATAACCTATGTGTTTTATATTATATCCTTTCAAAACGAAATTTACACGAAAAATAATTAAAGCAATAATTTATTCACCATACTTTTAGTTCATTGAATTAAAAGCTTGATTATATTATGATGTTATATTAGATACTTATTACTGCAACAAATATGAATCTCTAGTAATGAAGAACGTTAAAAAAAGATATCTATACATCTCTTGCTTGCACACTTGTAGATTGAAGTCTATATATATAATTTACGCATTATATTAGTAAACACTATGTTTACAGCTGAGCAACACTATTCACAGAGAGGGATACAATACAAGAGGTTATTGAATTTAATCGGTCCAACGCTCCATCATAAAACCCACTTGTTGAAATAGAATGCGGTGAGTCTTTTAAATAAAATCAGAAGCATAATATTAACTCTATGCATGTCATTGTATTAGATGCAAAGTCATGTTAAAGGTTGGCTAATAGATTTAAATAGAAGTTGAGTTATCTGTTTACATCTTTTCAGGACGTTACTCCATGCACCTAAATGTTTTGGTTTCAACGGTGTCACTTGATTTGCCCTTCTGAATTCACTGGACTATCATTTTAAATGGTTGCACAAGATTAAGATGTACAATTCACGATGTCTGAAGAAGTTATCAAGACATGCAGACAAGACGGTGAGAAACCCATGTCTGCTTGTTTCCGTGACCCGAGTGCTGCAAAGCAGAAAATCCTCTTCCCTTTTTTTTGCTGCAGGAAGGAAATGCAATTAGCTTTTCCGACCATTATACAGCAAACACTTGCAGTCTGACCAGACT